CTTTTTCCTACTTTGGGTGCTGTTCGGGGGATATCCCAGATAAGACACACGATCGTCTTGCATATAGCCATTCTCCTTTTTTTTCTTCTTTTTTAACTCTCAACTACTGTAATGTGATGTGATATTCAAGCTAGGTTTATCCCTGCTATAGTACATTTTTGTTCGTCTTGTCTGTCTTCCAAGGCTCTGTAGGAGCAGGTGATGTGAATCGTGAGGCTCTCTGCTTCAGCTGCTCAGCTCATTCTCCAAGACGCACACTTGGCACGACTTGTACTCCCAATGTGATCTCGTGGGGATTCTTACTCCGGATTATCATTCGGTCTCATTCCAGGGTTCGGATATGACACGACATTTTCTTTTCCTTCTGGGACTATGTCCAGGTGGGTTCTGGACTGTGTGACCATGTTATTTCGATCAAGAGGGTCTGGTGTTCTTTGGTTTACGTACAGATCTACAATAGCTGGGGTATTGGGGTTGGAGTACATATGTAAGTCTTGAGATGACACTGTCATTCCAGTGTCTTCGATATCAGTTTTAGGTAGGATCTCCGTCAGAACTGATCATGTACAGAGGTACATGGGATTAAGTACTGTCATGGGTATACTCTGTGTGGTGGGTACTTCTGTCTAAGTACCTTAAGCGAAGGGTAGAGAGACCTGGTGATCCTGGTGATCGGAAGCCGCTTCCACTAAACTACGCCACTTTCAATTTTCTACTTGCCCTCAGATTCTTGACCTGACTCTTAACTTAGCAAAGGATCGTCTGATAAACCCTACCAGGGGCTAAACGGAAATGAAAAAGTCCCGAAACACCCAAAAAAGCTTGATAGCCGAAAGTGTTTGAATGGTCGTTGACCTATCATCTTCGTTCTTGTCCCTGGATTATCATACAAAACCTTAGATGTTGGCGGTAAGCACTCTGATTGGCCTTGACGATCAACCGATCCCTTTTTCGTTTCTTGTTTTTTGTTTAAATCCGAAACAGTTTAAGGTTAGTGTGGGCGCTTGAGATATCCCATGGGTCTGAATATGGTTAAATGTGATTAAACTATTTCGTACTCTACATATTGATACATATGTACATTTGATACATAACAAGTCACATTACTGTCTATTCAACTCTAATTGCCCAATATGAATAAATTCCAGGTGAGACTGATTCGGCAAAATCTAAATGGTTCACTGGCATTGATTCTCGGAGATGTCAGACTCTGATGATCCCCGCCGCGATGTTTCAAGCCCCCCTCTTTTACCGCATATCCTCAATTGGATCAGTGTCTGGTGGATGTATCACGCTATTCCATTCTTTTCCAATTTTTCTTTTCTTTTTTTAAATTATATAATTTTTCCGTTTGTGCTTTTTTCTTAGGTGGAGACATCTCACAAGTATAAAATTGATCCCGCCCCCGTTTGTGAGGAATTGGTCTAGTTTGTCCATTGTGCATGTTTATTGCCTATTATCTATTGTCCCTATTCATCCCTATTCATTCCTTACTTATTGTCTTTTGCCATTTTGGTCAGTATCTGGTATACTAGATCTTTTCCAGTCTTTGACAGACTCCCTCTCTCCAATCCTTCTTTCTCCTTGCAACTATCCTGCAAACATCCAAGCGTCTAAGCACAATGCACGTTCTCTCAACCATCCTGCCCACTCTGGGCTTGCTAGCCCATGTATCTTCCGCCGCATACACCCTGCGCGACGACTACGGCACCTCCAACTCGTTTTTTGACAGGTTCAACTTCTACACGGTATGTCGATCAGTATTGGTCCTGTTTTTCTGTCCCATCTATGATACTCATCCAATATATAGGACACCGATCCCACCAATGGCTTTGTAAACTACGTCGACCGTAACACCGCCTCAGCCAACGGTCTCATCAATACGGGCGACGGCGTCCACATTGGCGTTGACCACACCAACATTGCCACCAAGCCCGGTCGCCAGAGCGTCCGCCTAGAGAGTACCACTACCTACAAGCATGGACTTGTTATTCTGGATCTGGCCCACATGCCCAGCAGTACATGTGGCAGCTGGCCCGCCTTGTAAGAGCCGCCGCCCCCCCAATTCCTCTTTCCCGTTCACCAAAAAGGAAAGAGAAAAAAAAACAAAGAAAAAAAGCTAACCACCTACAGCTGGATGCTCGGCTCCAACTGGCCCAACAACGGCGAAATCGACATAATCGAAGGTGTAAACGAGCAAAGCCAAAACCAAATGGCCCTCCACACCAGCAACGGCTGTACAATCAACAACACCGGCTTCACAGGAACCCTCGACACAGCAAACTGCTACGTTGAAGCCCCGGGCCAATCCGCAAACAGCGGCTGCTCAATCCGAAGCAACAGCACCCAGTCCTACGGCACAGGATTCAACAACGCCGGCGGCGGCATCTACGCCACCGAATGGACCGGCTCCGCCATCTCAATCTGGTTCTTCCCCTCCTACGCCGTGCCGGGCGATATCTCATCTGGAACCCCCAACCCAGCGGGCTGGGGTGCGCCCACCGCACGGTTTGCCGGTAGCTGCGATATCGACTCGCATTTCAATGATCTGCAGATCGTCTTCGATATTACCTTCTGTGGAGACTGGGCGGGCTCGGTTTGGAATTCGTCGAGTTGTGCTAGTCGTGGTGGATCGTGTGTCGATTACGTGCAGAACAATCCGATGGCTTTCCAGGAGACTTACTGGCGGCTGCGCTCACTTAAGGTTTATCAGGATTGGACGAGTTCCGTTACTGGAACTGCGGATGTGGATGTGGAGGTCGGTGCTGATGGTGTGGATGTGGAAGTGGAGGCTGGTGTTTCTTGGGATCCTGCGGGATTGTTTGAGCGCCCGCCGCAGAAGACTTCTATGAAGCATCGTCGTCAGCATTATCGTCATGGACATGGCCGTGGACATGGTCATGCTTAGATGGTCATGGTGATGACTGGATTGTTTTCTGTATTGAAAGCGATATGGGTTCGGACTGTTTCGCATTTCGATTGCGATTTCGATTGTGATTTACCCTTTTTTTTCGGTCTGCTTCTTGATTTCCGTCTGTTTTATGATCTCTTTATTCGTCTGGAATCCGATAGCCTGTGCTAGTCCACGGCTGTGGGGGGACGACAGCGTTTGATACGCTCTTTATGCTTTATGACGGCTTTGTGAATACCCCTTCCATTTCTATGGTGAAATGAAGAATGCAAACCAGTGATGATATGGTGATTGCTCTGTAGATATTCATTTAGACTATAAGTACCGAGTAGATCTATCATTTCAAGGTTCTGCTGTACACCTTTCGTGTAAGCCACTACAGCATACACCTCCCGAAGTCCATCCTTTCTTTTCTCAGGAGAAATATTCCTCGTGCAACACTCTTGTGCGTCTTCGGAACTTGAACAATCCCAGTCTAAACAACGGCTCCAAGGCTTTGTGCTTCAAGACTTCATCTAGCCCCTGATATGATAGAGACCTAGTCCCTCACTACATCTTGGATGGCCCAGGAAGCTAAATGCAGCCAGCTTGCGGCAATTTGGAAGTTTTCATACACCTCTAACTCGAGTAAGCCGGGAATGAATCGTCACACCTCTGATTATGGAAGCCATCTACAACCACGTGTCTGAAAAACCCGGCTCTACTCGTATGATATTATGTCTTTCTCAATGGGATGAGCTCCAGATCCTAGTTACAATCTCCAACATCAGGAAGCCTTTAGCGGTTGAAGAATAGATTTACTAACCTTGCATGTCGCTCCTCTTATCCGTGAAATCATTATCGTCGACTTAGCGCATGGAATGATCGATACGCTGCAGATGGAGAGACTCAACCACCAATGGTCAGGGGAAGGCGATTCCCTTGTGTTCTTTGCCCGAGAATCCCGAGGTTCTGATCCTGCCCCCAACCGACTACCTTCCAGCAACTTGAGTGATAAAATGTCTCCTTGGCCAGTATGGCCATTCTGTATATTTGGTACATGGGTATCCGCTCGAGGGCTGAGGTAGGTTTCTGCACCTAAGACATGTCCGACCCTGTCCGCCCGCTCGTACGGGCTTCGCAAAGAGCTTTATTATGATTTTGGGTCTAGGATCCCAAAATTCTTCTTATAACAGCTTCCCAAACGCATCACATCTATCTCTTATCATTGTGGTGGGGAGCTGGAGGTGAGCGGTCGTACCCCACCTTGCTGCGTCAAGCCTCGCAGGCTCAGGAGACGCTAGCAAACGTACGTGCGCTTCAGGATAGGCGGAATTCTCAGCTGGATACGCCATCTCATCCCCCTGGACTGGACGACGCCATTCCCAATATTCAGTGCCATGAGCTTGCCGTCGTGGAGCCTAAATGGTTTAGAGAACTCTCAGAGTGAACTCACGTTCACTGACACTCCAAATTATCCATCGCTATTGCAACAATGCCATGTTGTGGAGGCAAGCTGGAAAAGGTTAGTGGTAGCTTTCCTGTACCATGGTATCTGAAGTTATTGACCTAGATTCTGCAGTGGAAGCGACCCTGCTGATGTTCATTTCGACCATGTCCTCAGCACCGATGCGGAGATTTGCGATCGTATCAAAAAGGTAGGAAGAGCGACTCCCTGAAGGATTTTCGTGGCTCTTACAAGACATTGATAGCCGCCTGTGCCGGCGGTTTCAACCACCCCCAACAGCCCCCGGAGCTGGGGTTTCCATCTAATGTGAGTGCAATGCAGAGATCGCTCCAGACTCAACTAAAAGGCGCGCAGAATATCGCTACGAGAAGACTCATACCTGGTTAAGGACCGACCATTTGATCTCTCATCATCCTTCGATCTCTGCAGCTTCTCCATGTCAAAATCCACTCTAAAGGCCGTGCTGAGCAATTTGAATCTCAAATCGGAATTTATCGAGGCCGTTGGATCCCGGAGAGACAGTGCAAAGCTCTCATTCTCCCTGGAAGACGTCCTGGATTCCCGTTGTTTGAGTCCGTGCTACCCTCGCATCCATGGAGCTGCGTCTAACATACCCACGTATGCTTTTCTACAGGGTACATAATGCGAACGGAACGATCGCTGCCGTCAGACCTGATCCTCGCCGTGAAGTCTACAGTTGATAATAGTCACTCATTCACGACCGGGTTTCTCCATGGCTGTACAGAAAAAGAAGCCCAATATATCATCGAATGGCTCAAGAAAGCCTCCCAGGCGTTGAAGGAACCCACCCTTATGGCCCTTCTTCTGTACGAGATCCAGTATGAGCGTCATACCCACATTACCGACGGATATTGGCGGAGATACAATGACCTCTTCCTCGAAATCCATCAAAAGGCCATATTGTTAACCGAACTCTCCCCTTCCACGGAGGACAAAACCAAGATCCGCGATCTCCCCGAGATAGCTGACTGGCTGAGCACCATTTTTGGGATGCACAACAAGCACGGCCGCATGAATCGTCATTTTTGTACCTCTCAAGGCAACCTCCAATTGTTGCAGCACCTTGTAGAACAATTATCGCAGAGTCAAACAACTCCACCTTCTCCAGTGTTCCAGACAGCACCCTCAATAACCCACAGGCTGCAACAATTAAATGCTGGATACAAGGATTTGGAACAGCAAGCATTACTTCTCAAGGAAGGCACTAGCCTCTTCTCAGATACGGTGAGTTCCATCCTACTAGGTTGTTAAAATCGGAATTGACAGGACAATTCCAAAGGTGTGGAGCTTAATTGCCCAAAGAGACAGCCAAATAGCACAGAGAGCAAACATAATCAACCAGGAGATTGCCGCTTCGAGTCGCGTGGTCGCCAAAGCAAGTGGGGACGATAGCTCGGCGATGAAAGCCCTCGCGGTCCTCACCATGGTATTCTTACCCGGTACTGCACTAGCTGTAAGTTGCTCCGCATCAATCGCCCTACTGTGCTTCAGTAGGTGTAACCGATACTTCATAGACTGTCCTCGCCCTACCCGTATTCGACTGGAACTCTCATCGTTTCTGGCCCACGACTCGATCGAGTATCTGGATCATCTGCGCCCTGGCAGCCATTTTGACGTCCCTGGTTCTCTACCTATGGCGATATTGGTTCCTCGGTATGATTTGGGAGAAAGACGTGGCTAATGGCACGAATATACCGTATCGGAGGCTGGATCGACTCCTTCTACGGCGCCATGACCGGCAGAAAGTCGGGATTTTGGAGAGCCAAAGCCAGGACTCCGACGACGAAAAGGTGTTTAAACCGAATACGAGGGTGAAAATGTCGACTCCTATTCTCATTGCCCACCCTAAGCCTAAGCCTGCGTCTAACGTCCCATACAACTTGGAGCCTGGAGTGGGTCTCGGCCCTCTTCAAGATGAGTTATAGAGTGAGCGGATATAATAAGCTGTATATACTTTTGCTAGATTTGTCTAGGGATAGAAATCAAAGTCCATAAATATGGGTTCCATAAGTATAAAGAGAGTCCCATTTATGTACATTGTGATACTCATCTTTACAAGAATCTTATCCCAATATGCATATGTACATGTATTATATTTCCATCTCTACGTCTATTTAAGACGCTACACGGAATAAGCAAGAAAAGACAAAAATATATACTTGAATCTATGTACCGATTAACATTCGTATTAACATTAACATTAACCTTAACTCCCAAACCCAAGAACATCACGCTGATCATCAGTAAGCCGACCCCATTCCAAAAGCAGCCGAAAGAAGTAAATCTCCATATCCTCCTTCCTCAACGCCGTACTCGCCCACTTCCTCCCTTCTTCTGCAATCCACTTTCCCTGCTGATCATGCGCCTTCATGCGCATCTGCGGGGCATCAGGACCACGCTCAAATCCGGCACCAGGTACGCCCGCAAAGTACGCGAGCGTACTCCACAGCCCATGGAGACGAATATCAACAGGGACGAAATGCAACCACGAGGTAACGCGGGAGTCGAACCACTGGCGGAACAGACCTGTTTTGAGGGGCAGGCTGCGGCTGTGTAGGAAGGGGGAGGAAACGGCCGCTGAAACCTGCGCCGTCGAGGTCAAAGAGGAAGCGATGTGACCAGTGCGCTTGGAAGTCTGCCCAGCCTGCGGTGCCAAATTCTGAGGCTTGTTCACCGCAGTCGCCGCAGCGGACGATTGGGTCGGCTAGATGAACGGCGGTTTGAAGACCGAGTTCTGATGTCGGAGCGTTACCATCCATTATCTCGTAGCGGAAGGAGCTTTCGTTGGAGTCTGTCGGGAGGAGGACGGAGACTTGGTTGTTGGTGTTGTTGTTTATTAGGTGGGCGAAGCGTTGCCGTGGCATTCCTTTCCATTCGCCGAAGCGGCTGAAGCCTTCTGAGGTACTCCCGAGCCAGTAGAGGGAGTTCTCTTTGTGGCTGTATTCTGGATCCGGGTGTTCGTCGGTTGGTTTGTATTTTACCTTGTCTATGTAGTTCCATGGGCTTGGGAAGAGTATGTCGTTGAATCCGGTGAGAGCGCTCTGGCTGAATACCGGGATGAGTTCTTGTGACACCTTGAAGGAGGCTGGGGAGATTAGGAGACCGTGGAGGAACGCAAGATCGGGTTGGTGGCAGATTTCGGAGGCAATGTTGAAATCTAGAGGGAATTGGCCCATGGAATGAGGAGCCACGCATGAGAGACAGGTCTCACGACGATTCCAGATTCGTTGAGAGCGCGCCTTGGATGAAGGTGGGCAGACAGCGCTCACATAGGGATCAAATACACCTCTCCATGCCCCGTCAGTGAATACGGTAATGTTGGTTTGATCGGCGGGCTCAATCGGGCCCCAACCATCCTCTCGGTCGGTCGACCAAGCTTGCACCATGCGCTCTTTAGGGATCATTTCTTGCATCTCAGTCTCCCGGTTCAACATTGATATTTTTTCCCAGGGAACCGCAACACGTGGTTCATCATTCAAATTGAACACCAAGTCCATATCCGGGAGATATTTAGTGAAATTTTTCATCATTTCCGCGGCACCCGCCACCATCCACGCATGGGTTGGTTTGATGCCTTCTTGCACCATGGCCGTGCCATTGCGAATTCTGATCCCACCGAGATCGTTGAAAGGGTTTGTAGCTAGTTCATGGGTCATTGCGCGGATGTGCTCCGGAGCCAGGGCTCGGAATGGAAGTAGATCATGGTATATCTGATCAAAATCATCGATGACAGCCGATGATCGGATAGTGGCATATCGATACCATTTGTCGAAACCCCTAGACGAATATTAGTTGAGTCATGCGACAAACATAGGTATTCAAAACATACGGTGGTGGATGCTGGTTATATCGCCTCCGGTATTCGGTAACAGCATCCTCGAGAGTCTTGCTCCTAGACGCCTGAGCGAGATAGTTGTGATGTTGAAATTTGCCGTCGTTGATGAGGAACTCAATCGGGTGCATATCAGTAAGACGATGCTTGCTCACTGCAAAAATGAGACCAATCCCACACATCATGGCGAACAATATTTGTATGGCAACGTTAGTGCGGTATAATTTCGGCTCCTCGTCATGAACCACCCGCGCAAGAAGAAATAGGAGAGCACCGGTCAAAGATGCAGCCAACGGGATAACAGCATGGGTTAGAGAGATGAATGGGAAGGGTGATTGTTCGGTAAGGGCCGATAAAGAGGAGAAGTAGATGACCATGAAACCGCCTATAATTGACAATCCAAGGATGTCGAAATGCGGTAACTAGGAGAATCAGTACTGATAAAAAAATATGTTTTGATAACTGGAAAGGCTTACCATATGCCAGGCCGAAAGCACAAGTATTAGAACCAACACAGACTGGCTGAAAGCGCCTCGTGAGTACTCTAGATCCAACATGGGTTGACCAGCAAGTTCAGGAGAGCTATCTGGTACCCAATGGGATATAATACTCCAGGCCAACGAAAGACCCTAACAAGACCATCAGAACAAATATTCCCAGCAAGATAGTAGTTGCCCGCTTACCAAGAGTCCGGTTCCAAGGAACGTCAAAGTTCGTTTTCTGCGCACATCATCAAATTGAGTGCCAATCCGACATAGCTCGGTAATACCGATGAGTATAACAGAATCGGCAAACATGTTGAACAGCCTGTATGATCGTAGGCGCGATGTGCCATGTAACACAATAGGACAAATATAGGTCGACCGGGTCCCAGCTGAGAAAGATGAGGCCAAGAGCCCACCAACCGACAAAAATGCGGCTGCAATTAACCCTCTGAAGCGACTTTGCGTAAGATAATAGAAGCTCCGACGGGAAACAGAGTAGGCCACCTGTAGCGGGAGCGTTTCGAATCGTTGGGTAGGGACATATCTGTCCGCTTGTCGTGAACGCTGGTTGCGCCAGTAGTCATAGATCGAAATAACGAAAGGAATAGCGTACTGTCCATGGCACCGTGTTAGCCACATGAGAGAGTAAACGATAACTAAGACATTCGGCCACTTACAGCGTATCCAGCGGGCGCGCATTCAGTATTCCGGGTGACTTGACGAAACGACTCGATCCGCAAGCCACACAACCCCAATAAGAGACCAAGCTTTACCCACCATGATTTAAACCGTAGCCGAGGACGAGTCTCGACATCGCCTAGCGAGAAAGATGACGTCGATGCGCGCGAAGGAAGCTCAAATTGCTCCGCGAGAGGGATAACTGGCCGTTTACTTGTCGGTGATGATGGTGTCGATCCCAATGAAACAAACCGACTCGATACCAAGAGAGTCAGCCCCGTAAGGAAGCATACTAGGACAGATGTACTGATGGGGCGATCTATATCGGCGCAACAGTCAGATCAAGTTATAGAACGACATCGATATCCACGGCGACGACTCACCAAAAGCGAATGTGGTATTGTAGGAGGTAGTAATGAATAGTGAGCTTAAAAGAAATACCCTGCTCATAGAATGCGATCGTGAGTTTAAGTTGTCAATAATGTGAAATAGCTTATTAGATACTCACCCCACACAGAGCTTCAGCCCAAGGTCAGAAGATAATTGGATCATATTGCACCAATCGTTCTATGATCGCTCTATAGCGTCCCAAGCCATCGCTGTAATTTCAACAATGAATAGAATTGTTGAAAGAGTAACAAGACAGAAGAGAAAAGATTAACCTCCTGTGGATCTTCAGGAGATTGACAGTGTTCGAAACATGGAAGAAAGCAGGGCAGGGAGGGCCAAGAGGGCCCTTTGATCCACTGGCGGCTAATCAGAGGCATCCGGAGTGCTGATCCATTAGGGTTGCGTCAACGGGCGGGATATGATGATTTCATGGGCTTTTTGCTGCGCACATAAACCACGGGCCCTGGGTTGCATAGGTAGCTTGTGTTTCTGGTATCTTGCCAATGAGAATGGTGGAAAATCTCCAGCCACCACGCCCAAATCTATTAGCTCCTACTAGTTAGCAGATTTTGCCCTGGAGATTTTATATTGTAAAAGTCCATCAGCAAGAAATGCCGAGCTGATCAGTGGCCAGAATCAAGCCTTGGTCAATTTCACGACCCACTTGAGTCCTGAGCGTCATGCCGCTAGTGGGGCCTTATGCATACATATACATATGTTGTAGTTCATATATCATGCCCAGCCTTGTAAGCAGACACTGTGAAAGGCATGTAGGTAAAGAAGGATCACACGCAGCCAAGACCCAGTGCACGCGTCATATCAGCTACATACGACCCTGATGTATCCTGTCGGCTCCATTCGGCTGCATGTCGTGAAATAAAGATGGCCCGAGTGACCCACGGTTAGCGTCAAAAGGATACACTCAATTAGATTAGGCTAAACTAAAAGCAGCTCGTGGATTTCCTAATGTGGTCAGTCCACGTCACCTAAAGTCATGTGATTCGATAAGGGTCCAGGCGGTGTCGACTATTTGCCAATAAAGTGCAACCGCGGCTAGTCCATTTCAAGTCTTCGACCTCAACATAGAGTGTCCCACGTGACTTTAAAAAAAGTGGCAGACCAATCAGATATAGTAAACAGACCCACATACGTATCCCCTCAATGAAAGACGTTGGAAGAGGAAAAATAAGGGGTTGTCTTCGATTAAGCTTGTCATCCTCAGATCAAATATCATACTAATCTTCTAAGTATATCTCCAGTTGGCCATATGACTCAAAGGAACAAAGGGGTAATCTGTAGAGCTCATTATACTGCCCGTTTTGGCCCTGAGATATACCGCCTACTTATTTAGGATGACCCTGGCAATTCCAAGGCTCGCAGCCACGTGATACATGCACTTATGTAATTTGGAGAAAGGCACCGGGCGGTGTATCCCCTCGGGCGGTGTCAGACAGCAGTATCATTTTTTTCTAACCGGCGGGAAGTTTTTTGGTCGCAAGACGAAGCTAAGTGTTTTTTTTCCAATCAACACTACTCCGAATCGCCATGCCTCGCAAGGCGATTGACTCGCGGATTCCCGCTCTTATTCGAAATGGTGTGCAGGAGAAGAAGCGCAGCTTCTTCGTGGTTGTTGGTGACCACGCCAAGGATGTGATCGTGCACCTTCACTATATTATGTCCAGCGTGGACGTGAAGCAGAACAAGTCGGTACTATGGGCTTATAAGAAGGACCTTCTCGGTTTTACCAGTCACCGCAAGAAGCGCGAAATGAAGATCAAGAAGGAGGTCAAGCGTGGCATTCGCGAACCGAACCAGGAAGACCCATTCGAACTTTTCATCACCCTCAACCAGATCCGCTATGTCTACTACAAGGAAACCGAGAAGATTTTGGGTAACACCTACGGCATGTGTGTGTTGCAGGACTTCGAGGCCATGACTCCCAATTTGCTTGCACGAACCGTCGAGACCGTCGAGGGTGGAGGTTTGGTGATCCTGCTTTTGAAGAGCATGACCAGTCTGAAGCAGCTTTACACCATGTCCATGGATATTCACTCGCGATACCGAACAGAGGCTCACGATGATGTTGTAGCTCGTTTCAACGAGCGATTCATCCTGTCCCTCGGAAGCTGCGATTCTTGTCTGGTGGTCGACGACGAGCTGAACGTGTTGCCCATCTCCGGCGGCAAGACCGTAAAGCCCCTTCCCGCTCCCGAAACAACCGACGAGTCAGCTTTCGGCACGAAGAAAGAATTGAAGGAAATCAAGGAGAGTTTGGCCGACTCAAAGCCCGTGGGCCCTCTGCTCAACTTGGCTCGCACCGTGGATCAAGCGAAGGCGCTCCTGACCTTCGTTGATGCTATCGCTGAAAAGACGCTGAAGAGCACCGTTACACTGACTGCTGGTCGTGGACGAGGAAAGTCCGCCGCTCTCGGTGTCGCCATTGCCGCGGCTGTCGCTCACGGCTACAGCAACATCTTCATCACTTCTCCCAGCCCAGAGAACTTGAAGACACTCTTCGAGTTCATTTTCAAGGGCTTCGATGCACTTGGATATCTCGACCACGTTGACTACACCATCCTGCAGTCGACCAACCCCGACTTCAACAAGGCCGTTGTGCGTGTCAACATTCACCGCAACCACCGTCAAACCATCCAGTACATTCAGCCCCAGGATGCGCAAGTCTTGGGACAGGCAGAGCTTCTTGTTATCGATGAGGCCGCAGCTATCCCTCTGCCATTGGTGCGCAAGTTGATGGGACCTTACCTGGTGTTCATGTCCTCCACTATTAATGGATACGAAGGCACGGGCCGGTCTCTGTCTCTGAAGTTGATTCAGCAGCTGCGCGAACAATCCCGAAGCGGAGTCAAGACAGACGATACCGATGTCGCCGACCGCAGCACAGGCAAGTCAGCCAAGGGTGCCGACAAGAACCTCACTGGTCGAACCTTGCGAGAGATCACTCTCGCAGAGCCCATTCGATATGCCCCGGGTGATTCTGTTGAGAAGTGGCTGAACAAGGTCCTTTGCCTCGACGCTACTCTTCCCAAGTCGCACATGAACACACAAGGCTGCCCTCACCCCTCGCAGTGCCAGCTTCTTCAGGTCAACCGTGATACCCTGTTCTCCTTCCACCCTGTTTCCGAGAAGTTCTTGCAGCAGATGATGGCACTCTACGTTGCCAGTCACTACAAGAATACACCCAACGACCTTCAGCTTATGAGTGATGCTCCCGCTCACCAACTCTATGTACTCGTCCCGCCTATCGATGAGGGAGCCACCAAGCTACCCGAGCCACTTTGTGTCATTCAGGTCGCTCTTGAGGGTCGCATCAGTCGCCAGAGTGTGCTCAACAGTTTGAGCCGTGGCCAGCGCGCAGGAGGTGATCTCATCCCGTGGTTGGTCAGCCAACAGTTCCAGGATGAGAACTTCGCTAGTCTCTCCGGTGCTCGTGTTGTCCGTATCGCAACCAACCCCGAATATGTGGGTATGGGATACGGTTCCCGGGCTATGGAGCTCCTGGTCGACTTCTTCGAGGGCAAGTTCACTAACTTGGAGGAGGAGAGCACTGCCGCTGAAGAGCAAATGGTCCGTGTTACGGACGAAGAGCTCGCCAGTTCTAGCCTCTTGGATGACAACGTCCACGTCCGTGACATTCGCTCCATGCCTCCGCTGTTCGGCAAGCTGAGTGAACGTCGCCCTGATGCCCTCGACTACATCGGTGTCAGCTACGGCCTTACCCCATCCCTCCACAAGTTCTGGAAGCGTGGTTCTTTCGTCCCTGTGTATCTGCGCCAGACCCCCAACGAACTCACCGGAGAGCACTCCTGTGTGATGGTTCGCACCCTCTCCACCGGAGAGACTGACGACGCCTGGCTGAGCGCCTACGCGCGCGATTTCCACAAGCGATTCCTCGCCCTGATGTCCTACCAATTCGGACAGTTCCCGTCCGTCCTCTCTCTCAGCATCTGCGAGTCTGCCAACTCCGGTGCCAAGAAGGACCCCAAGTTCAAGCCGCGCATGCTGCAGAAGTCCGACCTTGATGAGGCTTTCTCTCCCTTCGATCTCAAGCGTCTGGACAGCTACGCCAACAACCTATTGGATTACCACGTCATCCTGGATTTGGTCCCCGCTCTCTCCGAATACTACTTTGCCAATCGTCTCGATGGCAAGGTCAGCCTCTCCGGCGTGCAGCAATCCATCCTCCTCGCCATCGGCCTGCAGCACAAGAACCTCGACGACCTCGAGAAGGAACTGAACCTCCCCTCCTCCCAGCTCCTCGCCATGTTCCTCAAGATTGTCCGCAAGATCTCCACTCACTTCCGCAATATCATCGAGAGCGATATCGAGAAATCTCTGCCCGCCCAGAAGGTCCGTATTGAGACCTCTGCCGCTCACGACGACGAGCCCGAAGTCAGCCTCCAGCCCCTGCCCATCAGCCTCGAGGATGAGCTCCGCGAAGGAGGCAAGCAGATCGATGAGGAGATGCTCGCCAAGCAGCGTGCTCTGGCCGCAGCTAACCTGTAAGTTTTTCAATCGCGTTTCCTGTCTATTGAAACAACAATAACTGATTTCCAGCCCACAGTGATGGACCTGACAATTCCAAGTCTTCCAAGCGCAAGAAGATCGAGACTGCGCGCGACATCTACGACAAGGAGATTGACTCGAAGAGACAAAAGATGATCAAGAAAGGCACCGAGGGCCGCAAAAAGCGCTGAATGATTTAGGGTCTGGACAGTTTTCTTTCTGCATTAATGTACGGTGTTCGGTTTCTTGGGTCTAAAAAGACTTGCTTGTGTCTAGTATTTGTCTATTCTTCAAGGTTCATGTTTCCACAGGATATCCGTCTCTTGTACATAGATATGAATCATGTGTTTATTATGCCTACAACAGATCGATCCGTAGAGATAGATGGGATATAGTATATTCCCTAACAGCTTGATACATTGGATACATAAGCTTATGCGATTCGCTTTCAAAACTAGAAGAAGAAAAATGAAGACTAGATAGAGACCACCAAACTAGCATCAACTAGCGTCGACCTCATTCCAGGGACCTGAAATGAATCACAACTCATCATGCTCAACGGCCTGTTCCTCGGCCTCGGGTTCAACCTCAGCTTCCGCCTCAGGCTCAACCTCGGCCTCGGGTTCAGCTTCAGCTTCAGCCTCAGCCTCAGCCTCAACACCGGCAACAATCCCCTCGGGCAATTTCTGCTTGGCGCCCTCACCCAACCGAATCCCATCAACCCAAGACTCAACAGCAACAGCTCCAAAGTCCGCATCAGCACCGCTGAAGCGACGCCACCAACCGCGGCGCGCATTCAACGCGATAATCTCAACCGTCTGGCCATCCAACGACAATGCCTCACGCAGAGACTTGGACCCGGTGTTGATAGCAGGGACAGCATACAGCGGGAAGAGATGCGTTCCACGCTGGGCGTGCTTGTGACCGATCTCAGCGACACTTTCGAGTGCCTCAGTAGCAGACGCTGGAAGCGCGGCGTCGGGTTCGCTCGCCTCGGGGAGGATGACTAGCACACAAGTGCCGGACTTCTGTGTGAGACAGGCTGACTCAATGGATTCGGGGGTGGCGAGGGTCGGGATTGCGGGAGCAGGGATGGGGACCTGAACCGGCTTAGCGGAGGGTTCTGTTTCATCCTGGTCCTGGGAGGCGGTGGGTTTGATGTCTTCGGCGTCGTCGACAACGGTAGGCTTAGAAGCGGGCTTGGACTTTGGTTTCGGCCTGGGCTTGGAGTTGGAGGCGGAACGGGGTGAGGCGTCCGGGTTTGGTGTAGCCGCTTGGCTCAGGAACTCTGTGACGGGCTTCTTCTTCATCTCGCCGGTGTAGATTTTCGGTTCGGCATCGCCGCCGGGGATGAGGACAAGGGCTGGCACTTCGGTCACGCCGTACTTCTTCAGGGAGGCGGTTTCCTTGTTCCGTACTTGGGCGATGTCAATTGCGCCGAGGAAGTCAATTGCCAGGGCGCGGGTCAACGCGCCGGTTGTACCCTTCTCTGTGAAGATGATGGCCTTGGGCCGGTCCTCGTTTTGTCCAAGCCACTTGTCCAGGTCCTTGTCTGTTGCGCGCTTCACGTGGTTGGGGATGCGGTCGACGACTGCGTCGACGATGCCTTTGGCACTTCGCGCGCCTTGGTAGTCCTCGACGCGGGGCTTTCCGGGCTTTTTGGAAGGTGTGACGATTTTCAGGGTCGGGAAGCCTTGGACACCCATCTGTCCGCAGAAGGGTTTGTTTTCGTCATCGTCGCAGTTGATCGCGGCGACTTTCGCGAGTCCGTCGAGATTTTTCGCGGCTTTTTCGTAGGCAGGTTTGAGGTTCTTGCAATGGCCGCACCAGGGCGCGTAGAATCTAAGTGACAAGCGTGAGTGAAGGTCGGAGGGGAGAGGCAGAGAGCTAGAGAGCTAGAGAGCTAGATAGCTAGATAGATAGCTATAGCTATAGTCCGGGATAGCTTACTCGACGATCTATTGGAGTAGCCAAGCATTAGCTGATTGCATACATTTAAGAAAACAAAGGATACCCACCGAGGTATGATTCGAATTCGCAATGAGCGACTTGTAGGTTTTGGGATTCAACTGGATCACCGGCGAATTCTTAGTGTATAGTCCATCGGCGTTAACAGGCAGTGCCGCAAGGAGCGACACAAGCAAAAGACTGGCACTGTGCAGCATGGTTAAAGGAGAATTTCAAGGCAGAGCTGAGATTCAGCAAAGAAGCCAAAGCGGAATAAAGAAAAGACAGATGGTCCGAAACATTACGCAAGGTGTCCTGAAGCTCTTGGCGTGCGGAATTGGCTACGACTATGCTATTTTGAGGTACTATGTAGGGAAATATATTAGAGGCATCAAATATGTTAATATGCATATTTGTCTTGAGTTAGTATGATAATTGTCAGTATATCAAAATATCTAGTTGAATAATCAACATCCTATAAACTTGTCCGTCTCCAAAGATTCCGTCCCTTTTCTCTTTGATACACACAACCTAGCAATGGCCAGTTCAAAAGAGGGTCATGATGTGGTCCTTCTACCTGGCGAACTTTTTTGGATGATCCTAGCCTACTTAGAACCAAACGAATTAGTCCGATGTCGCCGTGTCTCGCGTGCCTGGAACGAAGCCTTTAGCAACCCGACCATCCTACTCCCACTCCTGAAGAAACAATTCCCATGGACAGAAGAAGTCAAAAGCTTAGGCTCAGAAACGTCATCTGAAAATCAAGACCAGGGCCGTTGTCTTTTCGACCAGGTTGCTTCACGATATGATCACCTAAAACGAGGCAAACCCCGCTCTATCCAGAAGTACCGCCTCTGCGATGACTTTGGCAGCGCTGGAGACCGGGAATGGTATCAGGTACAGCCATGGGAGTCGCATGCCAGTCATATGAGGCGCTTTATTGACCGACAATTCTCCGAAGCTTTATGGACTTTCGAGGATGGTTTGCTAGTCTACCCCAGTGCCGATCATCAGTTTCTTGTGCTCATGGATCTGGAGTCAGACCGACAGTTCATGGTGCCATTTATTACTCGCGGCAAGGTTATTCGTCGAGTACGTCTACAGAAAAGCTTGCTCGTCGTTGAGTGGGCTGAACCGAAGGCCTTTCACTGGTTGAATGATAGCGATGGCGTGCATCGTCACTTCGCATCTTCTTTTGATGTGACGAGAAGTGAGGATCAGGGCTGGAACGTTGTCCCGCGCAATGAATGGAAGATTATGTTTTTGGGACATCCGTTGAGCGAGCGAGATCGGTTCTTCTCCTCTCATAGCAACACTCACTATGTGATCTATATATGGCAGCCAAATCGCAGCTTGTACACCGCCGACGAGGACGCCCCCATCGAGTCTTTGTTTGTCTGGGACATATCGAAACCATCATCATATCGACCTTCGTTGGATCCTACAGGGCGACTGAGAGATGACTCACCTGATGACTCTCCATCAATCGTGGCACGATTTGGATTCCGAGACCTGGAGTTCTTTAACATCCGACAGCGAGGATGCCCCAGCATTCAACGATTAGAAATTACGAATGATGGCCAGGCAGTCGAAATTACAGAAAATGTTTGCATTCGGCCGGAAGACCAACCACCTGAGCCGTTCGGGTTTCCTCAACCTATTACTACGAGCATTCCTCTAGTCGGAAATGGGCCCCATTGGCGCCGGGACTTCGAGGGGATTCTACCACCTTACCGTGGGAACTGCAGCATGCAAGCAGAGAGTATGAAGTCCGATGGGCTTATCATGACAGATCCTTGGTTTGGTGTCATTTCTCAAGTGACTGTACTCGAGCCTGATCTTGGCTTTTGTCTTCACTTCGATCCTTGGACGTGGATCCAAGATCAAATTGTCTATTTGACTATCCGGACACCCCGCTCGAGCGTCACTTGTGACAATTTCGATTTTGTCGGCAGGGGGAAGCTCGCTGGTGGCGAGAGATATCTGGTGGGCGAGAATTGCAATCGAGAGCTAGTGATTTACCGGTTTGATAAATGAATTGAAGATGAATAAGCCTTTATCCTTTAACACCGTCAGGACTCTACATATCCGATACATTTGGGTAAAGATGATATGTAAGGGACGTTACATAGAGAACGATATTATAGCGGTCCGTAGACTGTTAGGATTTCAATCCCCAACTCCGTGTATTTCCATTATATATGACATTATGGTATTCAACCTGCACTCTATCTCTATTTATTCCCTTTTACACGTCGCTATGTTTCGGTTCTTTTTTTTCCTAGTGTGATGGCAGGGGTTATTAACCTTTTGGAAGACCTTGTATGCAACCTGTAAATATCCACATATACATGTAACATAGATAAGTCTCTTATACAAACTGTGCTTTTTTTACTGTCTTCGTATACATCTCAAAGAACATCTAAAAAGACACAAGGCCGCATAAACGATTATTTTTGTGTCAAATTCAATTGACAGGTGTAAGCATTCAATTGCTAATTTCAAGTGCGTACCTATAGTAAGGCAGCAGGCCCGGGCAGGGTCAGCACGTATGGAGGTTCAATCTCCCCGGGGTCCCTTGTCTTCCGGTCTCAGGCACCGTGGTGGGTTCCAGCAAAGCCCTGCTTGCGGTCGTGTGTCTGTCGCCGGTTTTCTTTTCGATGATCAACACAAATTGTATAACTAGCCACAGCGGCACCCGGGAGACAAGAAAATCATCAACTTTATTCAAGGACTATAAAGTGGCTGAAAAGTAATTTCTATTATTTGTTTCGGTCGAATCAAACACAAAGAAACAAACTCGTCTCCTAGAAGGAGGACGTGGGGTAGGATTAGAAGTCGAGAAGTCGAGAAGTAAATGTACTGGCGAATCAGATATATATTCAGCAAAAGATAGTATCCGTGCATGAGAAGGAAGTGGTCTCTTGACTCAGATTTATTAAATTCAATGGAATGATTGGTGCGTCTGGAAGTGATGTTCTTTCTTTAGAAGTTTAACAAAAAAAAAAAATAATAATAATAAGACCGAAAAGGCCCCCGAGGTATCTATCCTACCCCATTTTCCCAACCACATCGGAGAATCCAGACCAAAGAGTAAACCAGACCGAGCTAACAAAAGAAAAAAAGAAACAAAGGCAGAACAGAAAACACATGTGATCCAACATGTGGATCAATCATTGCTCCTGCATAACAGACGCCGAGAGAGAGAGTCATAACCGTCATCGAACTTACATCTGACACAGGCCTTCAGGCCGCAGCCAGGACAGGTGAGGTTGAAAGTGGGCATCCACAAGTTGCAAACATTGCACACGGGATGACAGAAATCCTTGTACCATAGCCCAAGGTGGGAGCAAAGCTTAGGATCGTTTCGAACTGTAATTGGCGAGGCATCCGGGGCTGAAAGACGAACTTCTTCCAACCAGCCACAATAGGTCTCCAGCATAAGTCCGTTGAGCTCACCACCAAGGTCATTGAGGGTGTAACGTCCATTGGGGTCGGCGAGCTTTTGCTTGAGGAATGAGACTAGAGGGAGCAACGAATCGTGGCCCACCATGTAGGAGTTGATGAGTTTGTCAGCATCAGATTTAGAATCATCACTGGTAGATTCGTCATCCTCGACGGTGGTGGGCTTGAAATTCGAGTGATTGTTGGCTGAATAGGTGTAGTCGGTGGAGTTACTACTTGCTGAGAAGTCAAAGGACGAACCATCACTAGCAAAAGACCGAGGACTTGAAGCGCAATCTGAGTGAACTGGACCCTCGGAATCGGAGCGGAATCTTTTGGCGTATTCATAGGGAAATTCGTCGAATGTGTCGGCAGGGTTGCAGGTGTTGATATCCTCGTCAGGCAAGACATGCACGAAATCATTCAACCCATGACCACGAGTGAAGTCGAGGTCGTCCAAAGCTCCTTCGACAACCTGGTCAACGATATCGGCATATAGGGTACCTTCATCTTGGTCATTCGCCAAATCTTCTAGGTCACGCTTCATTCGAGCTCGCATGTTTTTCTTGCGGAGCTCTGCTCGTGCCTTTTGCACTTCCGGGTCAATACCAGCCCACTCATTCTCCCACTGGATATTTTCTGCTTCAAATTGCGCTCGTTTGGCCCTGGATTCGGTGGACTCCGGGTCCATGTGCACACTTGTTCCATAACTGTAGTAGTAGCTAAAGGTGTGCTGGCGTTGATGTCTCGGGTTGTGTCTAGATGCCGACTCTGTAAATAGGCCCGGCCAGTGGAAGAAATCATATCCATGGCGTTCTCGCTTTGAGGGACGAGTGTGGTTGTGCTTGTAGGCCCAAGCTGATGTGTCATCCTCGGGATCTAGATGTCTCTTGGTCTTCTTTTTCAGAGCCTCGTCAAGCAAGCGCCGACGGTCTTGGTCACGGAGAACCTCAACAGCATTTTGAATCTGTTTGAAATGGCTTGTCAGTGATGTTCGGCAACTTTATACTCCTGGTATTGTAGACGTACCTTTCTGAATCGATCAATGGTCGCGGGGGAATCTCCAGCCTTGTCTGGATGGAGCTTCAAGGCAAGGCGTTTGTAGGCAATGTTGATGTCAGAGAGTTTGGCATTTCGCTCAACGCCTAGGATGGCATAGGCATCAATCGTCACATTGGCGGTCGACATATTTGCCGCCACACAAGTCTTGAAAAATGGATGTCAGTGTTCTGTTATATGTGGGTGTTGACTTGAAGATAATTATTCGTTGATAATTATTCGTTGCTGATCTTGGAATAGGTAGATAAAACGAGAGAGATAGAGGCAGAGAGTAATGTGAGATCAATATGAAGGCATGTAGGTAATCAGAATATATCTGCCGTGAGGAAGGTGTGGGAAACAGCCTCCGAAGAAACCGTTGGGATGGCGACGATATAAAAACTCACCGCACAAACGTAGAGAATTGAGTTGGAAAGATGGACAATTGTAGATGCCCAAAAAAAGAGGATAGGACTGGAAGTATGAGTGAGATTGGAGAGGAGAATGAGAATAGAAAAAAACAAAAGTATGAGCACCAGAGGAAGATGAACAAGAGTGAAATAAAGAACAAAGACGCAGAAGGAAGCTTCAGCATGAGATTCAAGAACAGCAAGAGCAAGGAAGAGCTTTTGAAGAAGGAAAGGAGGAAGAGAGAGAGGAAGAGAAGCACCGGGTATAAGTATGATGAAATCCTATTGTAGATAATGCTATAATGCTATTGTAAACCGAATCCCATTGATCAAAGAATCAGATCCCATTGACGAAAGAAAATAAGCCATAAAAGACATAGTCCAATGATCACATGGGATGGCAGAAGTCAAACAAAGAAGATGACCGTTTGGGTACTAGTAGTCTAGTAGTCTCCAGGGTTAGGGTTATACACACAGGTGATCCTATTTAAGTAGAGACTATAGTGTCCCATTGAATAGTAAAACCTATCCAACTGGTTTGTTGAATAACCTAGATTGAAGTTATACACAAGGGGAATATCTGTACATATGAAATGGAAATGGATTGACTCTGATTTTACACAAGCTGAAGGTCGATCTAAATATGAACAAGTCTACACTAAAGCCGACTTGGTCCTGCAGAAGAAAGCTTCTACATATCCGCACTGGCGGTGGCACCGGTGATAATCTCAACCAGCTCGCCGGTAATGGTGGCCTGGCGCTGACGGTTGTACAAGATCTGGAACCTAGAGGGCTGTTAGAGACGAATTCTGAAGTCATTGGAGGTAAAACATACTTGTTGATCATCTCACCAGCGTTCTTGGAGGCGTTCTCCATGGCGTTGCGACGAGCGGAGATCTCACAGGCGTGACCCTCGGCCATGGCCCAGAAGAGGTTGTTGGCAAGAGCGTACTCGCGGAGGCTGGTCAGAACCTCATCATCAACCTCGTAAGAGGAGATGTTGGCTACATTGGAAAGGTTAGTTGAAACTCAATGAACAGCTTGGGCATAACAAAATCTCACCGGACTGGGTGATGGCCTCCTCGGAGTAGGCCTCAATGGTGACAGGCTCGTAGCTCTGAGCGTTGATGAAAGAGTTGTAGATGATGCGAACGCTGGCGTAATCCTCGGGCAGGAGAGCGATCTGGTCGGCAATAGCCTGGGCATCGGCGAAGGTGGGGATGTCCTTGCAGACGTTGGCGAAGCTCAGAACGATGTTCTCGGGGTGGGCACGGGAGAGCGAAGCCTTGGCCTTCTCACCGAGAATGGCAACGTCGGCGTTGGGGTTCTCGGCCAAAAGACGGCGGGTGGCCTTGCTCAGACCAGAGTGGATACCACCGCAAAGACCCTTGTCGGAGCTGGCAACAACCAGAAGAACCTTCTTGTCCTCCAGAGGCTTGGTCTCGGCCTGCTCGAAAACGGTGTTGGAGGTCTTACCATAGACGCGGGATTCGTCCATGGCCTTCTGAGCACGGGTAAGACGAGTGGACGCAACAATCTTCATGGTGTTGGTGATCTTCTCAATGTTCTTGATGGACTTGAGACGACCCTCAATCTCACGCAAAGTCGCGAAGGTGGCGGCATTGGCGGGGGCAGGGCTTGATTTCGCAGTCAGCAATTGTCGTTCTCGTCTTCTCTAACATCCAGCATATTTTGCAATTCCAATTGTGTCGAGGTGGTTGCGTCGGAGTACGTCGGGTGGAAGGACTTTGGCACGAGGTATCGGATGAAGACTTACCGAGCGACGGCGGCACCACCAGCCCGCAGGGCCGGGCGGACGGCACGGGAGAACATTATGGGAGAGATTTAAAGAAGAAATTGAACGAGCAGATAGTGACTGCGGAGAGGAGGAGAGTGACGAAGGTTAGACGGGGATGCCTCGCTGGTCGGGAAGGAAGTTGAGAACCAGGGAGGTTCTGTCTCCGTGCTGCCGCTAAACCGAAAGGGGCAAGCATCTACGGTGCGCCATTCCGACTTCCACCGCAGTATGATGCCTCAGGCATCCAAGTATTTACATAACATCACTTAACGCCTCAGGCATACCTTGAGAGTCTCTCAGGGCCTCTTTTCCCATTGCATTCCTCCATTCCAAGTCTCCCCCAACCTTTTTCTCTCTTTCCTCACGTCTTTTCAATCCTCTCGTCTCTGTTCCTCCGGATTCACCCGCAACATCCCCTATATGCATGTATCATTGATGCAGCATATCTTATAGCCATATTCTTACTCTTCATTGGTCAGAATTTCTTTGCTTTCCTCCTACCAGGCGGCTCAATTTGTCCGACTCGGCGCACGAGGACGCCTCCCCTTACCAAAACAACGATTTCTCTCATTTTACCCTCGTCTCCCTTTTGCTAGTCCAAGGACTACCACCATGAGCTCCTCGGAGGATGATGCACCCCTCATGCGCGCCAATGGACGTGGTAAAGGTGCGTTCCTCGGGTGATTCGGCTGTCATTATACACCTATACAATTTGTCGCGAACCTTCGCTTTCCTTGCACTTAGTCTTCTCATATCTATGTCTCCTCTAATCTCTGCACAATTGTACTTTTCCTACCAGTACTCGATCTTACATCTCGCACTTTGACGTCACTTCCCTCACTCTCCCAACATTAACTTGAACTGGAATCTAACATAGCGCTTCTACACTTCTAGCTTCCCCAAAGTCTCCCGACGTCGTCAAGATGGCGGATTCTAGCCCCGCCACGAACGGCCATGTCGATCCCGGAATATCCATTCGATTCGGTCCCGTGGAAGACAAGGATGTGAAGATGGAAGATGGAGAAGACGCGCTGGGTGCCAGTAAGCGCAAATCTCGGACCAGCGTGGGCGAAAAGAAGTCCTACGCAGAAGCAGAAAGCAGCGAAGAAGATGAGCCTTTGGTACGCCTACCCCCATCACGGGATGACCCTTGTTATTCCCAGTGCGACCATACTGTCGCTTTCGGTTGAAGCGTCTGACCATTCGACAGAGCAAACGCCGGCGTACATCTGTGAAACATGAAGATCCCGAGACCGATGACGATGTGCCCTTGGCACGCAACGGACGCAAACTTCCCAAGGCCGCGGAAACATCCATCGGGGATGAGTCTGATTCAGACGTTCCTATTGAGCGGAAGCTTGCCGCACAAAAGAAGAAGATTGAACAAACGGCGGAGAAGGAGGCCAAACCTGCGCGCAAACCTGCTGCGGCCAAGAAACAAACAAACGGCGTCAAGAAAGAGCCGGCCACCAGCAAAGCTGCCCCTAAGAAGGTGAAGGCTGAACCTGCCTCGGCCAAAAAAGGCAAAGCCAAGGTGAAGGCAGAAAGCCAGGACGCCGAAGAAAAGGAGGAGGAAGAGGAGGAGGAGTACCGCTGGTGGGAAGACCATAGCAAGGGCGATGGAACCATCAAGTGGACGACTCTGGAACACAATGGCGTGGTGTTCCCTCCCGAATATGAACCGCTGCCTAAGAATGTCAAGATGAAATATGACGGTGTTCCTGTCTCTCTTGAACCTGAAGCTGAAGAGGTTGCTGGCTTCTTCGGCACCATGCTGAACTCAACGCACAACGTCGAAAATCCTGTGTTCCAAAAGAACTTCTTCGGTGACTTCAAAGAGGTCATCAAGAAGACCGGTGGAGCGAAGGATCCCAAGGGCAATAAGGTCGACATCAAAGAGTTCGCAAAATGCGACTTCAAGCCTATCTTTGATTTCTACGATGCTCAACGCGAAGAAAAGAGAAACCTGCCACCCGCGGAGAAAAAGGCTGCTAAGGCCTTGAAAGATGAACAAGAAGCTCCCTACCAGTTCTGTGTGTGGGATGGTCGCAAGCAGAAGGTGGGTAACTTCCGTGTGGAACCGCCTTCTCTGTTCCGTGGCCGCGGTGAGCACCCAAAGACCGGACGTGTCAAGACCCGTGTGCAACCTGAGCAAATCACGATCAATATCGGAAAAGATGCGAAGGTTCCACCGCCACCCCCCGGCCACAAGTGGAAGGAGGTGAAGCACGATCAGGAAGGCACCTGGCTTGCCATGTGGCAAGAAAATATCAATGGCAACTACAAGTACGTCATGCTGGCAGCCAACTCCGATGTCAAGGGACAAAGCGATTTCAAGAAATTCGAGAAAGCCCGTGAACTCAAGAAGCACATTGAGAAAATCCGCAAGGATTATCAGAAGAACCTCAAACATGATATGATGGTCGAACGACAGAAGGCCACGGCAGTCTATCTTATTGATCAGTTTGCCCTGCGTGCTGGAAACGAGAAAGGTGAAGACGAGGCTGAAACCGTCGGTTGCTGTTCTCTGAAGTATGAGAATGTTACGCTGAAGCCTCCCAACACTGTCGTCTTCGATTTCTTGGGTAAGGATAGTATTCGGTTCTACGATGAAGTGCAAGTCGATCTGCAAGTCTTCAAGAACCTGAAGATCTTCAAAAAGGCACCCAAGAAGAACGGAGATGAAATTTTCGACCGCCTTACGGTATGTCCTCCTTTTTTTTCTTGCAGTCTTGACTCTTACTGACAAATAAAAGACTTCTGCCCTCAATAAGCATCTTGCCAACTACATGCCAGGTCTAACCGCGAAGGTTTTCCGTACCTACAACGCGTCTTATACCATGGGTCGTGTTCTCAACGAGATGAATGCCTCCGGCGGTACCATCGCCGAAAAGGTGAAAGCATACAACGATGCCAACCGTAAGGTTGCCATCTTGTGTAACCACAAGCGTACTGTCACTGCTGGCCATGCCACTGCGATGGAAAAGATGGGTGAACGGGTAAGTTTTCTCTATTCCGCTCTCATGGCGAGAGGCACCCTGCTAATGTAGATTTGGATATACAGATCAAGGGCCTTAGATACCAGAAGTGGCGGCTGAAGCAGCAAATGCTTGACTTGGACCCAACTCTGAAGAAGAAGAAGGGTTCGGCATTCTTCGAAATCGATGAGGATCTTGACAAAGAATGGATCGAAGAACACCAAGCCTTCTTGATTGAGGAGCAGAAAACCAAAATCTCCAAGAAGTTCGAGAAGGACAACGAAAAGCGCGTTGCTGATGGCGAGAAGGAAATGAAGGCTTCCGAGCTCGAGGAGCGTCTGCAGGTTGTGAAAGAGATGGAGAAGAAGTTCAAGAAAGAGAATAAAACCGGCAAGGTCGAGGCCGAGGCCAGAGGCGCAACGGTTGAAAAGCTCGAAAATTCCATCACCAAGATCGATCAGCGGGTCGAAACGATGTCCCTCCAGGCTCAAGACAAGGAAGACAACAAGGAGGTTGCCCTGGGTACCTCGAAAATCGTGGGTTTTTTTTCCTGTCTTACTCCTACAACGTCACCAGCTAATTATTCGCATTAGAACTACATTGATCCTCGCCTCACTGTTGTCTTCAGCAAGAAGTACGATGTTCCAATTGAAAAGTTCTTCTCCAAAGCGCTACGTGAGAAGTTCGAGTGGGCGATCAAGTCCGTTGAGGAGGACTGGGAGTTCTAATTCACCACCCATCCCCCTGGTTACTCGCTTGCCTTCCTTATCTTTTGTGCACATTAGTTTCTACGTCTATATTTTCGGTTTCACTCAGTCTGCCTTGGCAAGATGAGGTTGCTTTCTTTTGTTTGTTGGTCAAATTATTCGTTCAAATCTAGCCATTGATCCATTTGGATCCCTGGTTGCATTCGCGTGCTTAAGAAAGAATTGACGCTGCCAATGGCATTTTTCATGATTTTCGTTATGGTGGCTTGGCTCAGGGTGCGAGCCTGCATTAGTGGCGGCCGTGGGTACGATACGATCGGTATACGCAAGTATACACAAGGGAAAAAAGAAAAGTGAAAAAAAAAAAAAAACATTACATCACATCACAAAAGACCCATCGATTCGGTTGGCTGGGTGGCTTGGTTCAATGCACACACACTCATGCATGGCAGTCGGACATCTTGCACAGTTTCTGCTCCGCTGCTCTTCTCATTTCGGTCATAGGGTTAGAAGTTTCGAATTAATTCATTCAATTGTTTCTTGTCATAGGTCATTCTCTCCCACTCGCAGTCCCACGTAGTACTTATGTGACATTCAAGCATATGTATTGAGGTAGCTCTTCGACCTGGGTTGTGGATATATCCTCTGTGGAACCTGCACAACATATCTGCAGGGTCTATGCATGATGTACAAGAATAGGCCTAGCGCCATATTTCTAGTCCGAAGGTACGTAAGAAAACATTGATTCGAGATGGAGATAGAATATCAAAACGAGAGAAGGGCTCAATATGCTGCCAATGCAGGGCCATGCAAAAGATAAAGATAAAAGGGAAGAAACCGGAATAGAAACATATATGCAGGAAACAATAAGAGAAAACCCCCCATATAACAGCGATTATCAATTACAGTACAAGGTCAATTCACATCTAGCGATGCTAGACAGGTTTGTCTGGATAAATAGCTTCAAGAGGTCGGAGAGAGGGGAGCAAATGTAGACGGGAGAGTGTATGGGGATGCAGATCATGAGATGGTCGTGTCGTAGGGAGATTCAATGCATCATTTTTCGGACACAATGGGATGAGGTGACCGATTTTCCTCATCGGGTAGGGAAAGACCGTTAATGAATCATGGGGGGAAAGACAAAGATAGAAAGATAGAAAAGAGTAAAATAACCGACGGACGGGATATCTTCAAAAAGAAAAAAGGACAAAGAACAAAGAAAAAAAAGAAAGAGATCCGAAAGATCCGAAACCTAATGGAACTCCTCTTCTCATGGCCACCAGCCCATGCGCTTGTAGCTGTCCACGATTTCACGGACGCTGTCAGCCCCAAAGGTCGGGTACAATGGCTTCCAGCCAACCTCATTCTCGAACTTCGAGCCATCAATGGACATATCCTCACCCCTGAGGATATCACGTTCTAAGAACGGACTGATCGGTCCAGGCCGCGTGATATTGGCCCTCTCGATGAGCTCAGCCCAAGTCTGCAAACCGACTTCATTCATATCATCGAGGAGATCGTCGAGGTTCAGCTTCGCGAGCTGCGAAGCAAGCGACCCGACAAACCCAACCTTAAGACCGAACACTTCCGTCAAGGCATTAGCAACATGTTCTTGTTTCGTGTCATTGTGATCAACAACATTGAAAGTAACAACGCCATCCTTGGGATCGACGAAGCCCTTCGCAGCGCGCCACTTAGCAGCCTCGAACAGCGCACTCGCGGCATCCTTAACGTGCAGGGTATTAATTTTCAAGTCCTTAGTGTGCAGGAACTGCAATTCCTGCTTGAGATCTACGTGGACGGCAGACAGACAAATTCCCGTGGCGAAGTAGCCCGGGTCATAAGCGCCGTAGACGTGGGGCAGACGTAAGGTGCAGTACTGCAAGTTCGGGATTTTAAGCAGGTCCTCCGCGGCCTTGAGTTTCCACGCGGCCAGCTTGTGCCACGGGGCGAGTTTGTCTGTCTCCTTTCGTGGTGTCGAGCCACCCTTGTAGACGTGCGCGGTGGAGGTCTCGATGAAGGCGGGGATACCGCGTCGGGCGATTTCCTTTCCGAGCGCGAGGGAGAGGGCGTAGCTGCGCACTTCGTAGACATCGTCTGGTTGGGAGTGACGGGTTTCGCCGCCGCAGTTAATCACATAGTCGAATTGTTCGCCATTGGCTCGGTCAAAGATGCGCGGGAAATGTTCTGTGGGGGATCGGAGTTTAGGTAAGAATTTGTGTTTTGGGATGGGAGGATTCGGGTTGGGTCACTTACGTTCACGGCTGGCATCGGCCTGGACGAACTTGTCCTTTGAACATGCTTCTTCGAATTCTGGGGCTAACCAGGCCAATTGTGGGAGGACTTTGTCTACCAGACGGACTTCTGAGGCTAGATTGTTCTCGTGGATGTATAGCGCGAGGTGTCGACCGATAAAGCCTAAAAACGGGGGATGTCAGTTTCGGAAGGGAATAGTATTAAGATAAAGAAAGATATAGAAAGACATACCGAGACCTCCGACAATCAGAACAGCGGGTTTTTTGGCGTCGGCCATTTTAAATGTGAAAGCGAAAAGGTCTCCCCGCAGGTTCAGGAGAATGAAAGGGGGGAAGTCGAAGGAACGGGAGAAAGGAGGGGGCGGACTAAACGGGCAAAGGGGACTAAAAGGAAACAGTTCAGAAAAAGAATCCGAAGAATATTATTAGATGGAATAAAAAGAAAAGAGAAAAAAAAAGAAAAAAACTAAAAAAGAATTATTATTCGCATCTCCCCTGCCAAGCCGGTTAATCCACGTTGATAGCGAGTGGGTTACAGTGGAAACACCAGCATATACCTGTGACGTCGGAGGGGAGATAAGTGGGTGTTAGTGGGATTAGTGCGAGGTTGGAATTCCACTCATTTTACTGGAAGGTCAAATTTACATTATATTGTATGTTGTACTATGTGATACCAAATCAATGTGTCCTTTGTGTGTACTCTGCTCTGTGTACTTTATTATAGTCCCAAATACTCGATATCTCTGTTGGTGCCATGGTACTGGGTTTCCGATCACCCGAACCATAGATGCGATGATAAGCCTTTTCTATGCTTAATTTGACTAGATATCCATTTGAGTTAATTTGTTTTAGTTTTTACCATAGTAGTTTCCCATAGAATAACTACTATGTTGTAGGCATGATCTTGGGCTTAAATGAAACACTAGAATGTTGCGAGTTGAGCCATTCAATGTGCGTACAGACGTTACATGGAGTCATCAAAAGCAATTTCGGAACATTACTCCCATTTAAAATTGCAGTCATACACACTGCTCTTGAAGAAGAACTATTCTAATAATAGTTGGGGTTGAAACTCCACGAGCAGGGGTCTTCGGGCACTGCACACAATCGGGAAGGAAGGGAGGGGACAACGGGACCAGGGCGGGGCATCTTATTGATGAGGCGGGGGGTCGATCTTACCAACACGAGCACGGCACATAATGGAACAGCGCGGAAACTCAGAGAAGACGGTGAGCGGCTCTTGCTTGGCCTCGTCCAATTCTATGGAATCTTCTCAGAAGGGCCGCCAAATGAACATATGGAACAAAAGGTAGTTCAGAATTAGAGGAATGTCACAATTTCAGGTAGATGTTGGCAAATGTTCTTTAAAACAGATCTTGGAGCACTGTGACACATTCCCTACCTTCTCTGGTCATACCACAAACGCTGGGAGTCCCTATACAAGGTACTAATGGGTAGATCTCGTGGTCTAGAGCGAGTCCAAGTAGTTCGCGAGATAAAATCTAAGATAATAGCTTTGAAATATGTATATATTTGGCTGTTTAGAGACCCTAAACTCTAATATAAGTCTCAATTTCATGACCAGGCCGGCATCAATCAATATCAAAGGTGTAAAAAGCGAGGGTGCACAATTGCGTATGTATGTTGACAGCTATAATATCTTTGGTAGTATTAAATATCATTGTGTAGCTGGAAGTCGCACACTATTCTTCTATGTTCCATCTTTTGCTCGCCGGCTCTAAAAAAGCTGCCGCTGGTAGACCATAGGTTGAGTAAAAACGAGTCAATTCCCTTCACAGAAAAGGTAGGCTCGATGTGCCGTAGGTCCAGGGTGTAGGTAAAGGTGAGGATTAGAGCATCTAAATGGTTTAGGGAGCCATCTAACATTTGTTCGATGGTAAATAAGCTTATCTCTCTTGCAATTAAGTCGTGATTAAGGTGCGGAGTATACGGTGAGACAATTTTTCCAAGAAATGCACCAAAGCACAGACTATATCCACAACTTAGACCAGACTAAGCGAGTGCAGAGCCCGAGGGCGATTCTATATAAGACCTTTCGACCTTTTGATATAATCTGTACAACTTGCGTATCAATTCAAAGAGACAATATTCAAATCCTATACTTTAAGGTTAAAACTCGGACTTTCCTTGGTGTGCAATTGAAGCACGGAGCCAATCCCACATTCAGAACTCTCCTCGAATCTTGGAACAGGTGGAGTCGGATAGTGGACCCGATCTTGCGTGCCGTACCCCTTTCAACCACGTGATAGAAATTAATTTTCCAATGGAAGCGGGTCTCTGAACGGATTCGGTGAAACCACCGGTCAACAAACCTACGCCTTCTCCGTGTTCAGCGGTATCTTCAAATTAGCAAGATTCGCGTATTGTGGGCCAGGTTCCGGTCAAAATATAATACCGGAGTACATACAACCCGGCAGACTCGCCAACGGCTCGAACTCAGATCTCGTCAACAACATTATCCGGTCTACCAAATTTTGCAAAACAACAATGAATGGACGAGACTTGCTGGTATTGCAGGTGTCTATCGGGCTTCAGTACAAGACTATACAGTCCAAAGAAATTTCCTAGCAGATCCTCGGTGGGAATTCGGGATGAATAAATATGAGACAGGTCAAATTGAAGACGAACGGATTACACTGGTCAAATCCAATACATTTCATAATAGCCAAAGCAAGGTATATTCATAGTGCTCTAACAACCGCAAGAGTAAGCAAAGGTGAAAATCATACAAGCCCATAGAATCATGATGCGCCTAGCAATTTCAGCGAGTTCCTGAGCTCCTTGATAGCGGTGTCAACATCGTCAAAATTCAAAGCAGAGACCGCCCAGCGAGCATGCTTCTGCGCCAACTGCACAGTGTTATCATCTAGACCGTGTGATGGTTGCGGCGGGACATAGGGAGCCGGTGCGATCGGGACGTTGGCAGCCGGGGGCGGAACAAATGCCGGAGCAACCGGGGGCGGGATAGGAGCACTAGGACCTGGGGTATCGTAGAACGAAGCTGGATCTGGCGTGGAGACGGATGGTTCCTCGGACGGCGGAGGGAAAGACTGGAATGCAGTCGGGGTATCTGGAAGTCTAGGCACTGAAGAGGAACCGCCAATGGTTGCTGGGGTCGATGGGAGCTCTAAGCCGCCTGTATTGGTATCATCCACGTCCATCGGTTGCAGAGGAGAACCAGGTGCGTTGCGAGGGACAGAAGGGATCTCGGGCGGGCCACGAGGCGTTGAAGATGTACGTGATGGATGAAGCGATTCATCGAGAGTCGATTTCCGAGCTAGCTCTCGTCCAAGTCGGTCGGACTCGTCTGGGATCTCTTCGATAGAGGCTTGTCTTGGCTTAGAGGCCTGCTCCGCTACCGATTCATCAAATGCCTGGACGTCTGGGTCGTCGACGAGTTCTTCTTCCTGCTTTGGTGCGGGGTTTGTCGCGTTGGGATCTTCCCCGGCTTTGAGAGCTTTAACAATCCGGACTGCGTGGAATTTGGCGAATTTGATCCGCCCAGCAAGTTCTGGGTCAAGGGGCCCCCAGATCGAACAAAGTTCAAGGAACGTGGCCGCTGCTAGGAAAGTATCTCCCGTTTGCCTTTTGGGTTATTAGCCATTGTAGCTTACAGAACCACTTGGGGAACTCACTTTGTGACTTTGTTGGCGTTCATAGCGGCCTCAGCACGGCTGAATACCTCCAATCCGAATTGTTCGACATAGGCGCTCGCCGCAACAGTGTCTGTCACCGTATCATTTTCTGGATTTTCTACTTTGAACTATTCCAAACCAATCTCATCAGCTGCTAAATCTCAAACGCGTAGTGCGGAATATAGACTAGTAGGAAGGGAAGGAGGGTAGGGAGCCTGACTCACCTGCTCCAGCTTATCCACAAGGTTTGTCGTGTAGAGTTTGATCTCGTCATCGGCATTGTGCAGACCCCTTTCAATGATCTGGTTCACAATATGGAAATTGCCTACGAAATTAGGGTTCAATCAGCTCAAATGTTCAGTTGCGCTCTGTGCGGGGTCTTGCGACTTACACCAGTAGGCAACCACAGGTTTAGCCTTCTCAATTTGAGCTGCCCTGATTGCAAATCGACCGATGTCTGCCGATCGAAGTCCAGCTGGTATATTACTCGCCATTGTTAAGGATGTTCGTGTTAAGGAGAAGATGCATGTGGTGAATAAATGACGTTTGGAGCTCGCGGTGTTCCCACCGCCCGTGTGCGGGGCCGAGCTATCGGTTCTTATCTACCGAACCAGTCTTGAACAATTTGGAGATGTGTGAAACTAGAAACTATTTCATGATATGTACTATGTGGGTGTTTCTGACTATACTGGGTATCATTCATCTTCAATTGCCCACTTTCCAATCTCCACTCTCTCCTCCGCCAATGCTTCCACTTCAAAGTGATCTTCTACTTGCCCTCCCGGACCCCCAATGCGCTCAATAACAATCCATACATAGCGTGATTCAGCACTGGGTAGCAAATCGAAGTCTTCAACTCGTACCCCAGACGCAGCATCGCTGTGAGTTCCATCCTCTGACGTGGCCAATATCTCCTTGTATGGCCCCTGTCCCAGCTCCACGGTCATCAGCACTGGAGATGGAGCAACAGCGCGAGGGCCGACCGTGGACCGCTTATTTCTCGCAATAAGTCGGATCCGTGTCAAACGAGAGACCCGCAGCGAGGCTATCATCCGGTCCTTACCCGGAGACAAAACACCCACTTCGGATAGGACGGCGCGCCGTCCAGCAGACTCGGAAACCAAGGGCTGGACTACACACGGGATCGTGGATGAAATCCATAACGTGAAGCGGCCAAGCTGGTCAGGTGCAAAGGTGGAGCAGACGATGGTGTAGGTCCCTCTGTCCAGGGATCTGGTCTCGGCCAGTGCGCATCCGCGCCGGTAATCGCCACTATCTGCAATGATGTCTCGGCTTCGCACGCGCGATACGCGCTGCCCATTCGACCAGAAGATTTTCACATGAGTAGCTAGCTCCGCTTCAGTAGTCTCGAGCAAGATCGAGACATCTGTCGGCTCGGAAATTCGTATACTGAATTGTGGATTGGAGTGGTACCGAGGCGATTCGGCATTCCCGCCTGCTGTCATTGCTGTCCAGGAACCACTTGCTTTAGTCAAGCATAGATATTTATCTAGCGAGGGTGCCACGGCCACAGGTGCGGTTGAAAATGCAGAGAGAGTGAAATTCTGGGTGGATGATGGGAGCGATTGCTCTGAGACCACTGCGGTGTAGGTCGACTTGGGAGGCATTTCCAGCCTCATGAGCGTATTGGGGGAGTCCACGTATGGTCCGCGGTGGAGCGCACCATCGCTAAGAGACACTCTTCGGCCATTAGCTTGGAAGATGTAGATACTGATAAAGCCTGTTTCATTTTCCGATTCCCCAGAACTGAATTCGTGATGGTCTGTCTTAAAATGCTTTCCGAGCAGCAGCCAGACCGTTCCCCCCGAATCACTGGAGATGGAGAATTGGGGATTCTTCACGAAGCAGCCCGCAATAACTCGGCCATGCGACAAATCCCAAGTGAAATGGATGTCTTCGCGGTATTTGAACAGACCAGGATTCCAGTTAAGGTAAAGATTCTCAAAATTTAGGAGGACTTGTTCACAATCCATCCAAAACGTCCCTGGGGAGAGGGGAGGTTTATCATTCATGCTGAGTGAACCAATATCAGCCGTCAGATTGCTTTGTATGTTGGGTTCCGCACCAGCCCACGGGTTCTTCAACAGAAACTGGCGACGACCTTGAACTTCTTTCAAGTCCAGAATAGCATAATCGTGCTCTCCCACTAGCCCCAGACCTTGTTGTTCCCGTTCGGTCAACTTCCCAGTGCCGATAGTCAGGACCACATCGCCATGCCAGAAGGCACCGTATAAACGACCCCAGATCTCATCGGAGGTCGAATCGTCGTGATGTAAAAAGACTTGCTCCGGAATCCAACCAGTAAGCACCCAAAGGTCGGTCCCCGAGTTACTTCCTGGGAAATCATAGCCTCCGCGGACCTTCAAGTAGGCCTTCTCCACAAGGGCAGGCCACAAAAAGTTCGAGTTATTGCGATCGATCACATGGAGTGAGCGTGTAGTCTTCGACGAGGGCAATCGATCATCTATCACTACCTTTCGGAAAGATCCGTTGAAATAGAAGCGAAATATGTACTTCCCAGAATGCGAAAGTGTTGGGTTCTTATCCTCACTGCATGGGTACAGTGTCGGCGATGCATGCTGTTCGAATTAGCTTCGAGAATTCGTCGATGTAGAATCAAATAAGTCTATACCTGTCCTAAACCTCGTTCCGATCGAGATGTTGTGGCGCAGAGGCTTGCGACCACTGAACAGTCTGTTAAGACATCCTGCACGAGATCTGTTTGTTTTGAAGTCGACATAGCTGGATCAATTTCATCGTGGGTCTGATTGGCCTCATTCTTTGTCCGTAACAAATCATGCGGTCGTTTCCAGCCTGCAAAAATTTCTCTCTGGCATTCAGAGAGGTGTAAATCAGGCGCATCCCTATACGCGGTTAGAACAAAAATCAGCATTGGGCGATATTTTCCACATACGTAAAAGGTTGCCCTTTGCATTCAAATTCATCCTGAGGTGGTGCACGACTCCATGGTGGAAATATATAGCCGTTGAGTTTGGCGCCTTCGAGGATGATGATTTCTTCACGGGTAGTGAGCTTCCGCGTGGATGCGGGCGGCCGTAAGCTAGGGAAGGCTTTCTGGGGCCCCGCACGAGCAGCCGACTTCCAGTCGTCAGCGGCCTTGATCTTCTCGGCTTTGGACAGCAATTGTTTGCATTTCGTGTCGAGGTATTTTTTATCGTCGGCGGGCGCCAGGCGCAGCGCTTTCATGTAATGTTCCGCGGCATTGATGGCTGCCTCCAATGCCGCTTTCTGGGAGGTGGCTGTGGCTACCGCCTCTTCAGCGCTCTATCAAATCATTAGTTTTGTTCCTTCAACAGTAAGTGCAAAAAATATATTAAAAAAATACCAATGCTTGAGATATATAGGATTGTGTGGGTGCAGGTCTAGACATCTCGTTGACCGGTAGTCGTGGAGTAGGGTGTAATCAGATCGAACAGCAAGTAAATTACCGGATTCGGCTGAGCCGAGAGAGGACCACCTACATTATTAATTCCGGTGAAGATTCCGGGACTTGAATTTGAAGGGATGGATTTCTTTGTTAATGGTTATTATATTGAAAATATTGTACACAATATAATAATAAATTATACAAAGTAAACTAGAGAACTACAGAAGCAGAGAAATAGAAGTGAAAATAAACACACATGATGTAATGGAAGTTATGACATAAGCCTCAACAGCACCGAAGTGGACCTCGGCTCGATTTAAGGTGATAACGCCGAGGTGCATTTGTGAATTCCGGCTCATGGGCTCGGTCTCTTTTTTTTTGGTTGTTCGGGTGACTTCGGTATGATCATCATCTCTATACATTTCCCCATTGTGCTCTCTCTTTTATTCCACTCTCTCCGTTGTTCGGAGCCAAGCAGTGTAGAGCCCCGCTCAATATTTCTCCTGTCGTCCGGCCGCTGAGAGAACCGAGCCCTCTTCCTAGATCATATCCTTATTTATTGCGTTCCCTTGATTTCGAATACCCTTAACCGACATAATGGCCGGTCAATCCAAACCTGCTCTATCACCATGGGGCAGCGCCGTGGCAGGCGCGACAGGAGCTGTCCTTGCGAACGCGATGGTGTACCCACTTGACTTGTGAGGTCCCGCAATCCTCAAATTATCAGATCAAAACCCGCTGACTGTATCTCTCCCAATCTGTAGAGTCAAGACAAAACTACAAGTACAAGTGAAAGAAAAGAATGGAGCCGTGAAAACCGACGATCTCGAACATTATGAATCGACTATGGATGCTATTACCAAAATTGCAGAGAAGGAGGGCTATAGTGGTCTGTACGCCGGAATGGCTGGAGCCCTTCTAGGTGTCGCCTCAACAAACTTCGCATACTTCTATTGGTACAGCGTCGTAAGAACGCTCTACATGGCTTCAGCCAAGTCGACACAGGCCCCCGGCACAGCCATTGAGCTCTCCCTGGGCGCCGTCTCCGGTGCCGTGGCTCAGATCTTCACCATCCCAGTGGCCGTTATCACAACCCGGCAGCAGACACAGCCAAAGGGCGATAAGAAGGGGTTGATCGAGACGGGTCGGGAGGTGGTCGAGAGCGAGGACGGCTGGACCGGCCTGTGGCGCGGCCTGAAGGCCAGCTTGATCCTGGTCGTTAACCCGGCCATCACCTATGGCGCATACCAGCGTCTGAAGGATGTTCTCTTCCCGGGGAAGAAAAACCTCAAGCCCTGGGAGGCATTCTGTGAGTAATGGCAATTCTCGGTTAACAATGCATTGCTAATTATTATTTTAGTGCTTGGTGCCATGTCCAAGGCTTTGGCCACGATCGCAACCCAGCCTCTGATTGTTGCCAAGGTTGGACTGCAGTCTCGCCCACCACCCAGCCGAAATGGCAAGCCCTTCAAGACCTTCGGTGAGGTCATGAAGCACATTGTCGATAATGAGGGTCTCTTTTCCCTGTTCAAGGGTATCGGACCTCAGATCCTGAAGGGTCTTTTGGTCCAGGGTCTGCTGATGATGACCAAGGAGAGGTATGTTTTCTGTTTCCAAATTAACATCTGCTTGTACTAATTTTCGCAAAGGATGGAGCTTCTTTTCATTATCCTGTTTGCCTACCTCAAGAACATCAAGAAGGATAAATTACGCAAGGCAGTGGATTTGGCAGCGGAAAAGGCCAAGACCAGCATGCCTGCCACCCTGAAATAGTTGTCTTATAGTTAGACGGAGGAACTTTTGGTTTTCCCTTCGATTCCAAATTGTGTTTACCTAACTGGCGCGTTGGTGTGCTGTTGGCAATTCTGGTTTGATTTTGAACAGTCTAGACATTTCCTAGCATTTTCTTGCTGGAGACACTTGATATGGTATAACCCTGTGTTTCTAGCTTTTCAATATCATTATAGATCTGTACATGGTCATGTCATGCTTACTTGCTTTAGCACCCCTGTAGTGCTTGTCTATTGGCTTACTATGTAGCTGACTATACCATGAACACTTATGGTTGTGGGAAATGGGGCTCACTGGCCTTAAACGTGCAAGCCTGAGCCTGTAAAGATGGCTACGCTCCTAATAGTGCAACCTCTCGGTGACGATTCCAACAAATAACGCAACCAGTAACATTCAAAGACAAGGCTTCCGTAAAGAGGGATAAGGGTTGATTGGCTTCGATTTATGGATATTGCTCCATCTTGCTCACTATACTAAGCTTTTCTGTGTAGTAAAGTGTGTCATAAAGCAAAGCAGTGGAAGAATAGGAAAGAGATAAATGAATGATTGGTCCAAGAAAGGATAGAAAGGATATAAGGACATTGTCAAAGAAGTCTACAGGGTCATTTGTTGATAGAGTTGAAGAATCAATGTCATATTCCTATCATGCTAGAAAACCCCCCTAGTATTTTAGGTAACAATGGCTGCTAAGCACCTAGGTAGGGTGAAAAATCGAAGAAATCGGGAGGGGAGTGTCATTTGACAACGGATCCCCAATCCGTTCCAAGGTTGTAGATAAAGGACGCATGGGGAGTGCGTTGATTGTTTACCAAGAGGAATTGGTGGTTGTAGCTTTAACCGTGTACGGAGTAGATGATCTTCGCTTGACCGATCAGCTTTTACCCCAACAATCACCCTCATCAACCACTCGTTCTCACGCCACATAAATTTGTCACATAAGTGGCATGGGTCGTGATGCGATGGCCGCCATGGAGCTCCGAGTCGAACAATGACGAACAAAAACAAACACCCAGCTCCTGGCTCTCCTCTGCGGCGAACAACCCGAGCTCCATCCTCGACTGGACAGCGTTTACAGAAGCCAGAACCATTCTCCCAACCCTCGTCCTAACAAGCGGTATTCTCATCGCAGTGCGCTTCCACGGCCGCTACCTACGTCGTATCCCCGACGCGCCCAGCATCTCGGCCTCGTATCTTCGACGGCGGAGCATCTTCGGCCAAGTCACCAGCGTCGGCGATGGAGACAATTTCAGGATTTTCCATACACCGGGTGGCCGCATGGCGGGATGGGGCTGGCTACCGTGGAAAAAGGTTCCTACTCTGAAAAAGGATCTAAAGGACCAAACCGTTCGTCACCCACCACCTACTTATTCTCCCACCCTCGTCGCTTCCAGCCTAGAACAGGCATAATTGTGCCTCTGCATATCATATACCACAAACTTATTCTTTACATATATGTCTAGCTAACATATTTACCAAATCCTAGATCCATATCCGCCTCGCTGGCATTGACGCCCCAGAATTAGCCCACTTCGGCCGCCCCGAACAACCATTCGCGCGCGACGCCCACACCTGGCTAACATCCTACCTGACCAGCCGACGAATCCGAGCCCTCGTCCACCGGCAGGACCAATACTCGCGCGTGGTGGCGAGTGTCTTCGTCCGACGCGCATTTGACTTCCCGCCATTCCGTCGACGGGATGTTTCCTACGAAATGCTGAAGCGTGGTTTGGCAACTGTATACGAAGCGAAGGTTGGGTCGGAATTCGGCGGTGAGAAGATGGAAAAGAAATACCGCAAGGCCGAGTGGTGGGCTAAGAAGAGAGCCAAGGGGCTTTGGAAGGATTATCGTCGTGTCGGATCCGATTGGGAGAGTCCGAGAGAATACAAGAATCGGATGGGTATGGGAGATCCTGCTCCGATCGAGAAGGGGAATGGGAAAGGGAAGAGTGGGAAAAAATAAATGAATGAGTCGTGGTAAGCTGGACTTGCGATCATGGCTTTGAGCGTTTATATGTTGTTTTTTCTTATGTTCTAGCATTTACATTTACATGCGACGAGACGGCACGACTGCAATTTCACTATACAGCGTTGTACATGTGTGGCTAGTATGCGATGATCATGAATCATCGCATTTGAATGTTGAATATGATACACCAAGTTGCGTTAAGCTATACACGCACGGGGACTGGGGTTGCCCCCAAATCAGGCCCCAATTGCTAATGGGCATTAAGAGTCGAGTAATCTCCCAGGGGTTGGATGAACACAAAGGAAGTCAGTATACGGGCTATTATTTGCTTAGCAGAACCGCCGCTCAATCTCAGCAAACAGCTTTGGGCTAATTTCGTCGGAGGAATTACCCTCCGCACGGAATAGACACTGTTGACGGTCGTAGTGCTCCAAAAGGGATTTGCTCGTCTCCTCAAACTTCTGTAGACGTTGCCTCCATGTATCGAGGGAATCATCCTCTCGCTGCGTCAGCGGCTCGCCCGTGACATCGTCTTTGCCCGCCACCTTGGGCGGGTGGAAGTCTGTGTTATACACGCGCCCTGAGGGCTCGTGGACCCAGCGTGATGCGATGCGGGCGAGGATCACTGATGGCGGAGTGATGAGGTGCACGACGAAGTTGACCGGTACTAGGCTGTCCAATGTTGTTGCCTGGATTGCTGTCCGGGGAAACCCGTCGAGGATGAAAGAAGCAGAGGAATCGATTGAGTAGGCCGAGGAGGAAGTATCGGCTGGAGAAGAAGATGATGAGGATGTTGCGGATTGTACTGAGGATGCGGATGATGGGAGAAGCCAGCCCTTGGATTTCATATCATCGGAGATCAGATTCAAGATCATTGAGTCGGGAACAAGGTTGCCGGACTGCATTGTGGCTTCGGCTTCCAGGCCTGTTACTATGGTTAGAAATACTGGCTCCTTGCGCAAGCAATCATTGCACCGATGCTGGCTCTACTCACCGAGGGGTGTGCGTCGGCGCACATTCTCTCTCAACAGATCACCGGAGCTGATGGAAGCCAGCTGGGGGAATCGGGCTAGCAATCGCTCGGACTGTGTCCCTTTTCCTACCCCCGGTGCGCCAATCAAGATGATCCGCGCAGCCTTACGGAGCTGCTTTGTAATATGCGACATTATGTGCGATGGCTGTGTTGAGAGCCCGTAGAGGGTGTAAGGTTGCTGGTTCTGATGAACTCAATGGTTCAGGTATTGGGGATGTGGGAGGAACCACGGGAAAGAAGTGTGGACAAGATCACGACAGCATAATGGATTAAAGGAAAAGGGTCGAAGCTCGGGGTTAGAGAATAAGCAGTCGCGTATCTCCAGGGCTAGGACTGTTGAGAATGTTGATTTTGTGGGGGAGGTTGATCCTTTCGGTTGTCGGTGAAGAGTCCGAGGGAAACTAGATACCTCCGAGGTAGTATATGGCAGCACTCAAGTCTAAGTAATTATGAAAAAGAATTATAGATTTTTATAATATTAATACCTTGAGAGAATATCAAGTACTTATATCTAATTACACTGACTCGGTATAACTAAGTACTTTCACATGTCTTAGCACATGGTCGAAAACGCTTCGGGGAAAGCATCACCCGTGCTCAAGCACCCACTCCAGGGGTGGTCCCTGAGGCCCGGGGTATTGTATTACGTAAGTGACGCCAAATGATTTTGCTTCACGTGATTCTGCGCGTGGGACGCGTTCGCGTTGACCAATTTAGGGCGGAGATCTCATACACTCGTTTCTTGACAACCGAACACAATACCTACGCCATGATTCGACAAGACGCTCATCGCATTGATCCCAAACGACGGGCTGTTATTGACCCCAAAAAAAGACAATTCGCTACTCCAACATACAAGCAGCAGGACTATGCGCACCGTCTGAACATTTATGAGATACCTCCTACCGCGGAAATCACCCTCGAACAATTCGAGCAATGGGCCATTGACAGACTGAAGAGTATGTATACTTATACATTCATATTGTCTTCCTACCTGCTAATACCAAAACAGTCTTGGCCGAGATCGAAGCATGCTCTTATCGAAACAAATCCCCCGCCGAGACGGCGACCTACATTACACCTCTTCTGCAGAAGTTCCTCCCTCTTTCCTCTAATACCTCCTCTCCCTCCGGTGCTGCAGACCCACGCTTGAAAAATGAGCGTCAAAAGGACCACTACTCCCATTTCATCCTCCGGTTGGCTTTCTCGGCCACAGAGGACCTCCGTCGACGATTCGCCCGCGCCGAAACCATGCTGTTCAGATTTCGTTTCCAGCAGGATGACTCGAGGGAGAAGCGGGCTTTCATTGATAGCTTGAATCTCGATTGGGAACCTGTAGGTGACTTTGAGAAGACGGAGATTGCAGAGAGTCTCCTCAGCTCCACACCTGGGCTGCGCCGGCTGGATGATGAGACCTGGTATAAAGTCGACTGGGAGAAGGTCCCCGAGTTGATCGAACGGCGATCGGTTTTCCTGAAGAAAGGAAAGGCTTATGTTCCTGGTCGAGAGCAGCTGAGCATGATCATGGCTGAGTTTACTGCTCGCTTGGAGCGCGCACTCGAGGTACGTCGACAGTGGTGGCTTGGTAGTTGAAATGTCCTAGCTGATTATATTCTAGCTCACGAGTCGTGCCCTCCCCCGGCTAGACGAGGATGATCGTCTAACGCCTATTCTGAATCACCTTTCAAAGAACTTTGGCAGCGCTGAGTCGGTGTACTCGGAAGGCGAAGGATATGTGGACGGATCTCCGATTACGGCCAGCTCCATTGACCAATTGGCCCAACAGCATTTCCCGTTGTGCATGAAGAGCTTGCACGTGAACTTACGCAAGAATAACCACCTGAAGCACTTCGGCCGACTACAGTATACGCTCTTCCTGAAGGGTATTGGCTTGTCCTTGGAGGAATGTATTTTGTTCTGGCGTCAGGGATTCAAGGGCAAGACCGATGATGAGTTCAACTCTCAATACAAGTACAATATTCGTCACGCTTATGGCGAGGTCGGTGGAGACGTGAACCGTCGCGGAAAGGGTTATACCCCCTACTCATGCCAGAAGATACTCGGCGACTCAAATCCCGGCATTGGCCAGACTCATGGCTGTCCCTATCGCCATTACTCCGTTGATAACCTGGTGGGCTTCCTCCAGGCCACTGGCGTCAGTGACAAGGAGGTTCTGCGGGGTGTGCGTGAGGATGTTGGCAAGATGCGGTACCATATCGCTTGCAACAGAGTGTTCGATGCGACGCACAAGAACGAGATCAAGAAGGTCAAGGAAGATGGATCATGGAGTCAGACTGACCTTGACACGATTGTTCACCCGAACACCTACTTCAAGCGCAGCTTCCTGTTGAAGCAGATGGCCAAGGCCCCGAAGGACGCTTAGGGTGTCTTTTCACATGTCAAATTTTCATGATGTAATGTCGGGCACTTTTTCTTTAGTTTTCACGTGTTCTTTCTTAGTCGGCGTTAGGAGGGAGCATAGGCTTGTACGAGCACATCTGAAGCAGGTTCAATTGAAACAAGATCATATTTATTTTAACAACTATGGTGGTATAAACAATGGGAGTGTGACCACAGCTGATTCCCAGAGAATCCGAAAGGATCAGAATGACCTCTCAAATCCAGGTGCCCAGCAACGGGTCAAGTTATTCTCCGCTCAACGAGTAGACAACTTTGCCATGGAATGACGGAAGTTGTTGATAATAACATGTTTACACACATTGTAGGCTGGCGTGAAATTGAAGAAGAAAAAGAAAAGAGCGGAAGAAACTGCGGATGAGCCGAGTTTTAATGATGTTTTGGTCCGGGATGCGAGAGTGACCAACTGTGCTGCAACCTGGCCTTACTCACGGACCGGACCTCCACACAACATACTCCTCCATCTCGTTCATTCAATCCCTAGCTATTAACAGGGACTCTGATTTCTTTTGGGACTGGATTATGCTCCGGGTGGCTCACTTGCTTTAATTTCTTGGAGTAGACGCTAAAAACCGAGGTTCCCTTTCCTCGCGACTTCTCGATATCCGCATATACCCCCTCCCTTTGTCAACACAGGACCGAGTCCCAGAACATCTAACGACAAGATGGATTACGAAGCGCTGAAGGATCAATGGAGTGATGTGGAGGACCGCGATGGCATCAGACTCAGTTGGAACACTTTCCCGAGCACTCGCATGGTTCGTGACAGTGATCCTATCTGACCTTCACCGCATCATCCGCTGATACTCGATATAGGAAGCGTCCCGCTTGGTCGTTCCCATTGCCGCCGTCTACACCCCATTGAAGGAAAAGCCAGAGGCCCCTTTGCTACAATATGAGCCCGTTACTTGCAAGCAGCCCTGCCGTGCTGTCCTCAACCCATATGCGTACGTGACGTGTCAGTCTGATATACTTCAATGAATGGATGAACTGACGTTGGCACAGCACTGTTGATGTCCGCGCACGATGCTGGATCTGCCCCTTCTGTCTGTCGCGCAACCCCCTCCCTCCGCATTACAAGGATATCACGGAGAACACGATACCCCCAGAGCTCCACCCCCAGAGCACGACGATCGAGTACCAATTGGCACGACCCGCCCCCGCTCCCCCGATCTTCGTCTTTGTCGTCGATACTTGCCAGGAGGATGATAGTCTGCAGGCTGTCAAGGATTCCCTCATTATGAGCTTGTCTCTTCTGCCGGCCAATGCGCTGGTTGGTCTGATTACCTTCGGTACAATGGTAAGGAACAATGATCTTCGCAAGGCAGGTGACATGTTACTGACCTTGATATATATAGGCCCAAGTTCACGAGCTCGGCTACACCGAATGCGCAAAGTCATATGTGTTCAGGGGCAACAAGGAATACAACGCCAAGCAGGTTCAAGAGATGCTGGGCCTGGCCGGCGGTGTGCGCCCCGGTGTTCCCCAGCAACAACCTGCCCGTCCTCCCCTTGGCCCAGCTGCACGCTTCCTCATGCCCGTTCAGCAGGCTGAGTTCCAGATCACTAATGTCCTCGAACAACTGCAGCGCGATCCCTGGCCGGTGGCCAATGACAAGCGTCCCCTGCGCTGCACCGGTGTTGCCTTGAGCGTTGCCGTTGGTCTGCTTGAGACTTCCTTCCAGAACGCCGGAGGCCGCATTATGGCCTTCACCAGTGGTGCAGCCACTGAGGGCCCTGGTCACGTTGTTTCCCCCGAACTGAAGGAGCCTATTCGTTCGCACCACGATATCGACCGGGACAACATCAAGTACTACAAGAAGGCTGTCAAGGTCGGTTCTCAGCGCCTGGATGTATTCGAATTTTGCTAATTTAATCCTAGTTCTATGATGCCCTCGCTAAGCGCGCTGCCAACAATGGTCATATTGTCGATATTTTCGCCGGCTGCCTTGATCAAGTCGGTTTGCTGGAAATGAAGAACCTCTCCAATTTCACTGGAGGTCACATGCTTCTCACAGATAGCTTCACATCCTCACAGTTCAAGCAATCCTTCGTGCGCGTGTTCGACAAAGACGCCAACGACAACCTCTTGATGGGCTTCAATGCATCCCTCGAGGTGCTTACAACCAAGGAGCTCAAGGTTACTGGTCTGATTGGTCATGCTATCTCGCTGAACAAGAAGTCAAGCTCTGTTGGCGAGACAGAATGCGGTATCGGTAACACCTGTGCATGGAAGATGTGTGGAATGGACCCATCCTCCAGCTACGGTATTTACTTTGAGATTGCCAACCAGGGCGGCCCAGCTGCTGTTCAGCCTGGTCCTCAACGTGGTGTTATCCAGTTTTTGACATACTACCAGCACTCCTCTGGGCATTACCACCTGCGGGTAACCACCACTGCCCGCCCCCTGAGCGGACCTGCGGGTGACCCAACCCTGGCACAGTCCTTCGATCAAGAGGCTGCCGCCGTCCTCATGGCTCGCATTGCCGTGTTCAAGGCCGAGGTTGATGACGGTCCAGATGTCCTGCGCTGGGTTGATCGCATGCTGATCAGACTCTGCTCCCGATTTGCTGACTACCGGAAGGATGACCCGACATCATTCCGATTGGAAAAGAACTTCACTTTGTACCCCCAGTTCATGTTCCATCTTCGCCGAAGTCAGTTCCTGCAGGTTTTCAACAACTCGCCCGATGAGACTGCTTTCTACCGCCACGTCTTGAACCACGAGGATACTGGTGACTCTCTTGTCATGATCCAGCCCACTCTTGATTCGTACTCCCTGGAGCAAGAGGGTGCTCAACCAGTGCTGTTGGACTCTGCTTCTATCCAGCCCGCCCACATTCTCCTCCTTGATACCTTCTTCCACATCCTCATCTTCAACGGTGAGACTATTGCCGAGTGGAGGAAAGCCGGGTACCATGAACAAGAGGGCTACGAGAACCTCAAGCAGCTCCTTGAGCAGCCTAAGGAGGATGCTAGGGTTCGTTTTCCCTTTCCTTGTCCTATGTTTACCCCACTAGCTAACTCGTGTCATGTAGGACCTTATTTCCGACCGTTTCCCTCTGCCCCGTTTCATCGTCTGTGATGCCGGTGGTTCTCAGGCCCGTTTCTTGCTGTCCAAGCTGAACCCATCGACCACCCACACCACAGGTGGCTACGGTGGCGGTACCTCATCGCAGACCATCTTCACTGACGACGTGTCGCTCCAGACATTCATGGACCACCTGATGAAGTGAGTTTTCCCCCAATTTTGACCCGGAAGCTTTCATACTAACTTTGTTCTAGACTTGCTGTATCTGGAACCAGCTAGGTGTTATGAGACAATGGCCATGAGAGCAAGGGCGGTCTGTCGTCGACCCTCGGGTCTTGTGTATCTTTAGCGGTGATTTATCTCCTTTGACGCGATATAGTAGTAGATTGAATGGATTGATACCATTACAGGAGGATTCCTTCTAAAAGTTCTTGCAATATTTATTACTAAAGTAACCCTGGAGCGCCCTAAGGTGTCAAGCACAAAATAAAATACCCAAAGAGGCAAGCAGCTCGATAAGGGTTTTTCTTATCGCACGTGACTAAATGTGCGTGCCCTAAATCCTAATTCGGTCATTCGCTTAGATGAGCAAGTGTGGGCCGCGCTAGCAGCGACTCTCCTTCAAGTTTGATTTTTTTACTCCTTTCCTTCTTCTCTTCTGTAACCACCTTCTTCGACAACCAAGGACGATTGACTACCTTTCGCACTAGCCATGCGTAAGTATCATCTACTTGGCATATGGCAATATGGCTCCTAACTAACATCCCCTTGTGATCAGCTCCCAAGTTCGATCCCAATGAGGTTAAGATCATGTAAGTTAATTTTTCCTACATCCCCTCTGGCTCAATCCAGCTTTACCCAGCCAACAAGAAACTAATAATTCTTGTCTTTAGCCACCTCCGTGTGACTGGTGGTGAGGTCGGCGCCCAGTCCGCTCTGGCCCCCAAGATCGGTCCCCTCGGTTTGTCTCCCAAGAAGATTGGTGAAGATATCGCCAAGAACACTGGCGACTGGAAGGGTCTCCGCGTCACCGTCCGCCTGACCATCCAGAACCGTCAGGCCGCCGTCTCCGTTGTTCCCTCCGCCTCTTCCCTTGTCATCAAGGCCCTTAAGGAGCCTCCCCGTGACCGCAAGAAGGAGAAGAACATCAAGCACTCCAAGTCCATCCCCATGGATGAGATCATCGAGATTGCCCGCATCATGCGCACTCGCTCGATGGCCAAGGAGCTCCGCGGTGGTGTCCTTGAGATTCTCGGTACTGCTTTCTCCGTCGGCTGCCAGGTCGATGGCCGCAGCCCCAAGGATGTCTCCGATGACGTTAAGTCTGGCGAGATTGACAGTGAGTTTTACCAATCCATCGATGGTTGAACCCGTTGCTAACAATATATTCAGTTCCCGAGGAATAAATTATTCTCTCGAATGATCACAAAAAGAGGAGGCCTATCTGATTTCTAAGGCGTGCTTCTCTTAATGTTGAGATGGCTAGTTGCAGAATACGAATGGTTTCTCAAACCAACAAAATATTCATGAGTCATGACCTATGATACCTTTTCCTAATTCGCGAGTCTTCAGTTGGAACAAATTGACTAGCTCGCTGCTTGTTCTTTTTTTCTCGTTCCTTTCCGGTTGTATTCCTTTCTCCTTTCTCTCCCAATTCCTCTCCTAATCCTCCCGCCTTCTCCTATGGCGAAGAGAATAATGGAAGGCTATACCCGGCGCAGCCGACAGTCCGTCCTTTGGATGGAACCCCCACAACACTCTGGCCCTTACTGTTCTTTCCCTACGGGGTTTGATCATATCAAAACGTGGTATAGGCTTATTTTAAGTGGGGAAGAGAAAATCAGTCCCATTACTCATCGCGGTATCCTTGGAGACTTGTCTTCGTGGGTGCAGTGGTCCATATTTCGGGTCTACATCTCTCGCAGATGAGAATTATTTTGTTCTGCTCTCGTAGGCTGTAGTCTAGCTAGCTTCAATCCATCATTAAATTTCTGATTATTACCTTTTTCCATACCACTCGTACAAATTATTAATTCTCGCACACTCGGACCCTTCAGTGGCGGTGTACCAAAGTACATACCCTAACCTCCACGTACAATACAGAACCAGGCTCCCCTGCATGCGGGCTGCCACCATGCACGTACATATATGCGACGCGATGTTATTGACACTCAAGTACTTTATACGTGTGATATTGATATGATGACTCTATTTGAGGCTGTACTGATTTCCTAACAACGACAAGCCGAGAAGTCAAATATACTTTCTTCTGAACTGTGTGATATATATATTCCGAATGAAACGACCCCCCACCATTCCACGACAACGTTATCTGCGTTGTATAAATGTACAATGTACAAACTGCAAGAACACCTCGCTGTACATACAACATATGTATGCATGTAGTATAGGTACATGTACGGAAAGTAGACGTCACACCAAGACTGTATATCGCCAGCCCTGGCATCATTTTGAATTCTATTCTGAGTCTGAAACACCTCAACGGCCGCTACAGAGTGCTCCGTACACCAAACAGAGCTGGCTCGAGAGCCAACAAGTATCCGAGCGCGACGCACCAATGAAAATTCATATTAAATTTAGTCAGTACATCGTATTCAAAGGGCTGCTATAGGTGGACGAAACATTGTTGGGTCCCTGGATTTAAGAATAGAATAGTAAAAAATATAAAAAAATGTTTTATATAATGGCTCACCGATCCTAAGATTAATATAAAATAAAATGAGGAATGTAAGCAAATGAATGTTCTGTTAGCGCGCACTCCACCGAGGATCCTCATCAGCCCTGATAAGGCGATGTGCGTGCTAATCCACGGGGCTGATCCATTTTGATGTGTGTTTGGTTTGAAAAGACGAGATATTTGGGTCGAATGGAGTCGGGGAATATCAAGTGGATATATATATCCCTTGGACTTTTTGTGGGTTTTATTTATTATTTTTTATTATCATTTTTTCTATTAATTTTTTTTAAAATTTTTTTTTCAACTTGAAAAGTAGAAATACTATCTTGGCCTATTTTTTTCCCTCCCAAATATCAATATTGAACCAGTCAGTGCCTGTATCACCCGACCCGCATGCCGCTGTACAGGAACGTTGTGCAGGCCAAGGAAGGATGCGACACCCAGTGGGGGCAGTTTGTCGATCTCTACCTGTGACACGTTAACTTTATGGGAAACTGGATGAGGAAGGTTTCGAATATTCTCCAGTGTGACGGTGGCCGTTTATAAAGGCTTGTCGAGTCTCTCGGTATAGTATAGGATATACGTAGTGTAGTGCACGTGTGATATGTTATATGTGTCCCTGGGTACGAATCAGCCTTGAAGTAAAAATCCAAAATAGTTCAAGCTAAGAGGCTAAGTAAGAAATGACCGCAGGGATCGTGGTGGAAATGCTTGCGAGCAACCCCAGAATAATCCCGGATAGGAAGGGATCGGAGGGACAAGCCAACAAACAGGGGGCTGCGCCTGTCAGAAAAGGATGGGGAAAGGGGAAAAGAAGAGACAAAAAGGAAAGAAAAAAAACGAAATAAAAGAAAGACAGATACGGGCGGGTATCCAGGCATTCAGTCCGGTTCAAGAGAGACAAGGGAGATTTTAAGCAAGAGAGTCAAGAGAGTCCAAAAGAGAAGTCAATTTCGTTGAGTTCAGCTAACTCTCATAGCCCACAGAAACCGAGAACGGGCTCGACTCGATCACCGGCGGGGGCGTCACCGATCCATCACTAGTCGCCGCGATGGAACCAATGATCCACCAGAATTGGATTTATGGAGAGCCGTTGGATCAAGTGGATATTGGGTGTTTTTTGATATGTGATCTGTTACCTAGGTATGTTTGGGGGGAGCAGAAGAGAGGGAGAGGTGTATATTATATAGTCGATAGCATAAGATATAGACCTAAGTAAGATATATATGTTACATATGTTATATATCTTATATATAACATATAATACTTAGATATAGGTGTAAATGTATTTAATATGTCTTTTCTATTTCCCCCACCTGAATCCACCGTGTCCACTCCCCTCGCTTTCTCTTCAACCTTGTTCTTTTGGAACTTTGGAACTTTGACTTTCTTGACTTCTTCCTCTTCTTTACTCTCTTGACCTCTTGACTTCTTTACATCCTTTCCCTCTTTTACCTCTCCACTTTCCTTTGACCTTGTTTCCCAGGGTTTATATCTGATATCTCCAATATCCATTAGTGATCTACCCCTCGCACCTGCCAAGATAACCTTTTATTGGCCGTCTCGGACACCAGCATCGTGAGCTGGACATTCTCTCTCCCTTGCGTCTCGGATCTCCTGCCCTTGGATTTTCTTTTTTAATTATTTTCTCTTCCCTCATCTTATCACACATACTTCTCTATCCACACGTCTACACTTTTTTTTTTCAGTCGATGACGATATTCTGAAATCCTTTGCGCAAATTAAAACGCCGCAACCGGCTGAACTGCTTTGAAACTGGCGGAACTGGCTTCACATAATGGGGTGTCGGAAAAGGTATAAGGATGATTGTTGAATGTTGACTCCATTGACGCGTTGAGTCTTCGGTGATACCCTTGTCGCTGGTCGGCCTCAAGGTATTCCGATCCCCTTGGATCAAGGACAGAAAGAAAGAAAGCAAAGATGTATCCGACCGTCGCACCGTTTCCCCCGGTTCAACCGCACCACCGAATACACTATCATACCGACACCCTCAACCAGCACATGTACGATGCGAACGACTCACTTCCCGTCCGCAACGACCCCTCCAACCCTTCCTTTAATACAATACCACGATCGCGCATCCAACTCCCCCATCCCGTTCAACGTCTCGATTCCCGCGATGGCTCCGGCTATAGTTCCAGCACAAATGTCGCCGAACACACCCTGAGGAGGAAAACTCCTAACGGAACTCTAGCTGCGGGGTATGATGGGTCCCTGGGCGATACTGTTCAGCCACCAGCACCCAAGCATATCTTGGTTTCGCCGATGGAACCGGGCCAGTTCATTTCCTCTCAAGGGATGCAGTCCGAAAATTGGCAGCTCATGTTGGACCAGTCAGCCACAAAACAAATGAATTTTCCGCCCGTCTTCAAAAATGACCAAGGCAATACGATCCAAGAAGTCGTTCAAGATGTGAATGGGACGAGCTGGGTTCGTCCCGTCAACTATCCTCCGGGTGTTGACTCCATGTTGAACCAAACTTTGCCCCTGCAGCCATCTCATCGATATCTCTTACAAAATGGGCAATATGTCCCCACAGTCCTACCGGCAACCCTGCAATCCTGTCTCGGACCAACTGCTTCAGCAGGTACTGGACCATTCGGTCCGTATTGGCCTGATGGTGTATACATCCCATATCGTCCCGCGGCATTTCGTGATGCGCGTTTTGAATCCCCGACGCCCTTTACAAAGCAGATGAGCCAGTCTTTTTACGACCTCAACCAGCCGCCTTTTAACCAAGCTCAGGTTCCGTTGGACAACCACGCAGATTCAGGACTCGCATGGGGGCACTCCATGCCGGGTTTGCCAACTCAGGACTCTTTGATGAAACCTCTTTTTCCACCACGCCACTCTGAGCAATTACCCTTCCACGCCCGAGCCAACCGCCCTCTATCAGGCATTCAACAGCCGCAGCCACCGAACAATGAGCCCACGAATTGGTCGAGTCGGCCACTGCATGGGTTCCAACCCCCGGGGCCCGCAGTGGCAGTGAACACGGATTTCAAGGAGAAGGTCCTGTCGGAAGCTCATGGTGTCTATGTCGACCTCCTTGCAACCATCCACCAGGCCCGCCGCAATAGCATTAGCAACGCTACCGCCGACGGTTATCCCCGATTCCTGAAGCCGAGCATCTACCCTAAGCCCCCACGGCAACCGGGTCTCGACTTTTCACAAGCCCCTCCACCCGACCTCACACGTAATAACAGTTACCCGGCTAGTCAATATGACTTGCAACGCCAGAAATTTAACGCCGGGAGCCATAGGCCGAACGATCCTACATCTGTTCCTCGCGTGCAGACTCGCCGTCCGTCCTTAAATCAGTTCGCACATAGCAGAGGGTCAGATACCCACATGCTCGGACTGCGCGACATGGGCTGTGCTCCAGGAGTGTCGAATTTCACCAGGGCCCGTGGTTCGCTTTTCAATGAGGGCTCGCCTATGTCAAATGCTGCATCTGCTTTGTCAATGCTGTCTGACTTGTGTGCGGAAAGCCGTTGGGAATGGATCGACGGAATGCTTCTCGGGGGTTGTTTAGCCTACGGCTTGGGTGATTATCACAAAGCCGTGCGATGGTACTCGAGGATCATAGCTCGTGACTCGACGTAAGTGATTTTTCTTGCTGTCTAATAACTGATGTTAACAAGTACCAGGCACGTGGAAGCTATATCAAATCTTGCTGCTACCATG